CCTTCTGATTAGTCAAAGTTTTCCTTGTCAAGGTCATTTGTCCGTTCACTAGTTTGGGTTGCTATAGTTTAGAGTTACCCTCTATTTATAGTAAATTAGACGACGAAAATGCTTCTTTGAACATGAAAATAGCTTGTGCCCTGATTCCATTAGCAGGTTGAAAGCCTATTCAAGAAATTTGCGTCAGTTCATGTCGCTAACAAAAGACATAACTGACAGATTAAAACAACGACAACAGTAAACGGAACGGAGAAAAGTAGATGCATTATATCAGATAGAAATGTAACAGTTACTATATAAAATGGTGTATTTTGATAAATCACACAGAGTTATTGTACAGTAATATTAACTGATGACAACGTTTCGAGCACAAACTATTGCCAGTCATAATCATATCAAAAGAAGGTAAAATCAAACTTAACAAAATCAGAAAGAAAAGCTCTAATTAGTCTAAAACAGGATAACAATATTGTCACCGCAAAAGCTGACAAAGGAAAATCTACCGTAGTTTTGAATAAATCTGACTATATCAAAAAAGTCATTGAACATATCCAGACGGGTCCATATGAGGAAATTAAGAAACTTGTAGATACAATAATGAATAAAAGGTTAAGTAATCTACAGCAGAATTAATACGCAAAATGAAGCCGTCACTGGGTGAGTCTAAATAGTTTAATTTAATGCCTAAAACTAATAATGCCAGTAGCATATATGGTGTTATTAAAATAGATAGGCCAGGTGACCCCATACGAGCAACAGTTTTTTGTTCCTTCACGTTCCCAGTGGAACACATGGCTTGAAGTTTCTGTAGCAGTGGTGTTTATTTTTACAGGATGGAATTGCTAGCCTCATGCCCAACCTTTCCCCTTTACCAGCATTATTTCTGGCCTAGAGAGGAAAGGAGTGCGTCTGTGGCCGGGGATCGAACCCCGGACCATGTGCATGGTCGGCGAGCGTACTAAACACTGTGCAACCGATGCACTACGAGCAGTAGTAAATTTCAGAAATACCCCTACTTATGAGTTATGGGAACACTTAGCTCCAATATTATGCCCCGTTAGAAATCGTTCAAACTGAAGACTAACTAATTCATATGAGATGAAAAATAAACTAAATGATGCTCAACTAGAGAATAATAAAACAATAGTTAGTTTTGATATAACTAGTCTTTATACTAATATACCAATCAATATCGCAGCCTTAGAAGCAGTTGAAAGAGAACTTACTGCGGATCCTGAACTCAGTCATACGACAGAGCTGCCCATTGAAGAAATTATTTTCGTGATTCAGTTATTCCTCACATCTACCATCTTTAAATTCCAAGGCAAAATATATAGACAAACAGATGATGATGGATCACCTATATCCCCTATCGTAGCAGACATATTTATGGACAGCTGGGAAAATATTGCTCTCAATACGTTTAATCCTACTCCAAAAATATAGTGGAGATATGTGGATGACACTTTCACTCACAGTGTTAAAAACAGAACTCACTAGTCGAGGGAATAAAATTCACATTTGAATCGGAAAATGAACAAGGAGAATGAGCTATGTTCGATTGTAAAATAAAACGAATAGAAGAAGGTAAACTACACACTAGTGTGTACAGAAAACCAACTCATTCTAGTAGATATTTAAACTTTTATTCATCTCATCCGTTGTGTGTAAAGGCAGGCTTAGTTAAGTGTCTGACAAACCGAGCCATAGCACTATGTAGCACAAGAAAAGGCTTAAATGAAGAAATAAAACAGATAGAAGAGGCGTTGGTGTTGAATAACTATCATATAAAATTCATTAGGAAGATCAGTAAAGACCAAAAAAAAAAATAAAAATAATTGTGAAACTAGTAATGATAACATAAATAAGGGAGAGTATGAGTCATCCACTGCTACACCATATAAGGAGGGGACATCTAAGACCCTACGTAGGATTCTTAATAAAGCAGGAATTAGGATAGCATTCAAACCTACAAACTCACTCAGGTAGGACAAACTCTGCAGGCTAAAACATCTGGTGCACCAAATTAAACAAAATAATATAATTTACAAAATACTCTGCAATGACTGTGAGTCTGGTCAACTATATAGGTCAAACTAGTAGATTGAGGTTAATCACATTGTCGGAACATAAGAGTTTAGCTAAGGTAAGAATGATTGACCCCGAGGAGATAAATAATTTAGGAAAAAGCTCAGCAATTGCACTTCATGCATCAACAAACAACCACAAAACAGGGTGGGAGAGGGTTATGATTCTAAGAAGTAATCAAGGTAGGTGGAGACACAGAGAGGTTGATTACTGAATCCTGTCTGGTTCATCAAGTCTACACCCAACACATTCAACAAAAATGACTCAATGCAAATACCAGAAATATACAAGATATTATTACCTCCAGTCAGTCAGTCAAATCAGAGGAGGATAATAAATAATCTAAAAATTCTATTTCAATTCAAGCACATCACAACATTCTAACAAGTTACTTATTTATTTTGACTGTAAAAACACTCGTCTTATTTCCCATCTGATTGTAATTGATCAATAGCACTCATATGATTATTTCTGATTGTACATTATCACATATTGATTTTTATTCAGATATCTAGTCACTTCCACATATGTATATGCATGAAGGAAAAACGTTGTGTGAGCGAATGACTTGATATGATTATGAGTGGCAATAATTTGTGCTCGAAAGGTGGTCATCAGTTAGTATTACCGTGTAACAACACTGTGTGATTTATCAAAATAAAATCTTATCCACAATGGAGTTATACTCTACCACAGTGCTCAAGTTTTATACTTATATCAATAACAGATAATTAACAAAACAGCTATTTTCCGGTTACAGAGGAAAAAGCACTTCATTTTCATAAAGTGTATGTTTTTGGAAATCTTTTGGAAATCAGTTCATATAACTGTAAACACTGTGCGATTTATCAAAATAAAATCTTATCTATAATGGAATTATACTCTACCACAGTGCCCAAGTTTTATACTTAAATCTTTCTGAATTCATTTTATGGAAATTATGCACTCAGACCTCACTTCATATGAGAACATGAGAATTAAAGACATTCCTAATACAAGCCTTTGTGCCAGGGTTTTCGAAAACTATAACAGCTTGCTTACTGGACTTAACTGTCCACAAGTTTTGGTAGAGTAATAGGGTGAATGGTCTTCGGTTTCAGAAGTTCGCTTTGATTATTCTAGAACGCCTAAGATGTTGCAGACAATCTCCCTTGTTAGAGTACCTTGGTGACAACAGTTGGCGTCCGAAAGTGTTTGCAGTTTCAGGTGATTTCCCGTTAAGTGACACTGGGAATGGAACCTCCATATAATCAGTAAGACACTACCTTAGAGCTACAACTGACTCTCACTGCTGACATTTGCATTAAACCCGGTGAACTCCTGTCTTATATATTATCAACGCTGATGTATCCTATAGACAGATCCAACTTATCACTGAGCCAGTCTGTCTTCACGAGACTGATAGGTTAAGAAATGCCTTCCCATCAGCTTTACTAGTATCGCAGGTGAACTACTGGAATACATCACACAGGCTACAGATATTCAGCATGCTGACATCAGCAACTGAACCCCGTTATTTCAAAGCAATTACTCTTGTCTGGTCAATCAATTTTTAACGCAGAAAATTAGGGCTAACTCAGATTTTGTTAATATCTCCGCCGAATGGGGTTCCAGAGGACGGCGTACAGAGTCACGACTAACAAATAGGTGTGAAGAAGTACTGAGACATGAGTGAACACAGTTATCTATAGACTGTGGTTTGAGGGGAGCAAGGTAAAATGAACACTTTGCGTTTGTAAGCATGTTGACGTTAGAGGCGCAATCTGCAGCTGGACGGTGAAACGAATTCACACGGCAGTAGGAGTGTTGTTCCATATACTAGCTCAGCGGTAGTACAACCATCATCAAATTTTAATTCATCTCGTATGCGTGGGAGAATTAGCGGTAGTCCGTGTTCGTGGCTGAAAATCCAGCCTTAAACTTTTGGTGTATACGTTCTGTCTTCCATTTGCTTGTGGATGGCAGGCTATTGTTCAAAACGCATGCAACATAGAATTTTAGTCAAGGCATAGAATTAGCCACAAGATGAACGAAAAGTGCAGAAGCGAGCAAGAGATTGCATATCATGCCAGAGTACAACAGTTAACAGGCACCCGGCGTTACTCCTGGAAACATTCCCTCAACTTGATGCTCGATACTCTCATGTTCATGTGGATTTGGCAGGTCCTTTACCACATTCCAGGGGATTCACTTACAATCTAACATAGCTAATTTTCCACATGTATACAAATGAAGTAAAAAGTTGTGTGAGTAATGTCTTGATATAATTATGAGTGGCAATACTTTGTGCTCTAAAGGTGGTCATAAGTTAGTATTACTGTATAACACAGTATGATTTATCAAAATAAAATCTTATCCATAATGGAGTTATGCTCTACCACAGTGCTCAAGTTTCGTACTTATATCGATATAAACAGAACACTGAACAAACTGATACATAATATTTAAGTGTTGGTTTGTAGGCATTCGGTTGGCTACAGGATTTCATCATGAGCCGACATTAGTTAGAGAACCACTGGAAAACCACCTGGGAGTACTGGACAGCTTTTTCCTCCATCCTAGTTTTAGACTCTTCATGAGCACACACCCACCACAGAGGGATTTCGAACCCAGGACCTTCTGGTTACAAGGCTATAGAGCTCGTATACCATTAAGCCACTGGGACCTGATCCAACGGCCAACCCATGAATTCTAACTTTTACCAATTCATGACATAGCGGGACCCCTAGCCAATGTCTTCGGTGGCACGTATTTGTCCTCACATTCGACCTGCTGCACCCTACTGGTCACGACTTCTCACTAGAACCTCAGGCAACTACCTACCTGAATAGGGCAAGTCGCTACATAATATATATATATATATATATATATATATATAAAGAAAAACAAACACATCAAAAAGACTAATACTTTTATTGAACTTGTACAATTTGACTTGAGTTTATCAGTTCATCCGTTGAACAAAAACAATTACAATTAATAAAAGGACATTGTTTTGGATAATTATTATTTACACTGTTGATTGAATTAAACCATGTATAAATATGATGTACATGTCCACCATGATTACATCTTGGACAGATTAAAACAAGTCCTTTCGATGTATTACGACATATAGAACATATTAATAATTGACGTGTATTTATAACAACATTATCAGGATCAACATTCATTTCCCATTGATATTGTGTACATTGAATTGATTTCAGTTGATCATTATTAGATTGTTTAGGTAATAGATTAGAAGTTGATTGATTATCAGGACATGAAAGTAATATTAATGCACTACTTTGAATATATGGCCAAATATATGGTAAGGCATTTTTATGCATATACGATGACGACCAAGAACGTAAAAGACGAGCATGTAATATATATTCACGTAGGGAATAGATAATACTTGCATAAACTGATATATAATGATGAAATGGAAATAAATCTTTTGAATGAATAAATCTAAAATGAAGAGAAGAGAAGGGAATATATATATATATATATAGAATCAATTGCTGAAATTTGAACTATACACATTTGTTTTAATTCATTGTTTGAAAAAAGCGGGAATTTTGAATCTTCAGTTGTAATTTTGAGATGTACTTACTTGCAGAAGTCATTATTGATGAAGTGGTTGACAAACGAGTTGCTAGTCAATATTTTCCATCTTGACAGTTATGCTAACAAAAATGACAGTGACGGGTATGCGCTGCAGAGACATGATGACTAAAAAAGTATCCGGTTAAGCAAGAGATGGCTTTCGTGATTGAGTAACCTAATGGATAACGCTGTTGAGTTTAAAAAGAATGACAGCCGAGTTCGAGTCCGATTGGGAATATCATCAATCACTGGGGGGGGGATATAGGCATCCCCAGATGGTTGGTCCTAAACAGGACAAAGTGCACATCTTGGATCCCACTGTTAGGCGTAATCAAACAGGAATCATCATACATAATTGGTACGATAAGTTTGAATTCTAGAAATTCGAAATACTAAGCCTGATGTTGAAGTACATTTACTCACGAAAGAAAACTAATTATTACATTATTCCAAGTGGAAAATAGGGCTTCAGCAACACATCTTCACTTTGTTCTATTGTCTTCTCTCCTCGTCAGTTGGATCCACAATTGCCAATAATCTCTCATCTCCTTCTAACAACACTGAAAAACATGCAGGTCTATCTAGGAGAGTTGAAAAGCCTACCTCCAAAACTATTATGTGTGTGTGTGTGTGAGCTTCAGAATCCGAAAGGATCGAATGACGTATGAACTTGTTTTAGTCACCAAAAACCATAGAAAGGCAGTTTCTGAAAGTAGGAGGAAAGGCTCGATGTGGCCCTGTGTTTATCGAATCAGCTGCAAATACATGTAATAGGAATGATTCAACACCTGTTCCAGATATCTGGAAAATTCTGCTACCCCTATGACGGTTAATACGATAGGACAAAGGAAACTATACAACTCAAGTTTCAAAGTCGTTCGAAATGTCATCTAGTAAATAATACTGTTTCACTGTGTGATACATCTAATAAAGAAACTAATATGCATATGATCATCGGTTGTTGTAACAGGAACCCAACTGAAGATCAAATACTACAAACTTCTAAACTTCAGAGTCCTAGAAGATAAAGTTGATAGACTGGTCAGTGCCTGTGGGAAAAGTTCATTTTACTAAACAAAAAATACACTAATTTGCATATCTTACGAATACTCGCAAAGTTAAGCCAGCAGATAACTAATTTGATTGATTGTGTAATAGCGGCTCTCGAAGGTCGCTCATTCAAAACTGCTGCTAACTCAATCGCCTAAGTAACCAAATGGTTTATAAGCTGACCTTTGCCAACAGAATATAGTTATTTTAAGCTTAGGTAGAAAGAACTAGGATTGTGCAACAATTGCTGAATCATTTCTGTTGCATGTATTCTGAGTTAATTTGATAAGTAAAGCTTAAGTTATCGACCTTTTCCTCGACTCTGTAGTAGCATTAGATTTTAAGACTATCACTTTGTTTCATCCCACTGTGTAACCGCATTTGTACCCGGGGGAGGGGGCGTTCTGCTGACAAAAATTTGTAAGCAGTATAAAATGTGTGTGCTGCCTTCTACAAAAGAATCATGAACCACTGAGCGACGGATTAACAGGGCAAGGTGGATAAAGGGAAAATCTTATGAACCAATATGGAAAATATGAAAGGGATATGTGCAAATGGAAATTTCAACATTTAAGGTGCACCCATCATTCTCAACGGCTAATGCTTCTGCTGTGGGATGAACGCTATCTTTTATATGTGTCTCACTGTTTTATCAGTATCTTTGCAGTTCTACGTTCACCTTTCATTAACCAAACCGGATAGTGTTCAGCTACACCTTTTCGGAGAGTACGCTTACAACGTCCAATATAATCAGCTCCACAAGAGCAGGTAAAAGAGTAAATACACATAGATGTGGACATTAGTGGTAATCTATCCTTGACGCATTGTCTAATCATATTTCTGCTGGTAAAAAATGGATGCTTTGCGTTTCACGATCGAAGAGTCGAATTCCTCCTTTCACTTCTTTGACGTTAAGCCAGATGGAAGAGAGAATGGCACGTTGTTAAAGTCGATTTACCGAAAGCCAACAACATTTACAGGACAGTATACTAAGTTCAACAGTTGGGTACATTTAGAAGAAAGAGAAATCTTATTCATTCCTTATGCTCCAGAATTCGTAAAATCTGCTCTACAGAGACAATCGTTAGTGAACTAGATAACCTTCGATCAAATCTCCTTACTAATGGATATTCTACAAGGTTTATTGAACGTAACATCAAGAAAGAATCCGCCCAAAGACAAATCACAGTACCAAAGAAAAAACTGTTTATGAGTCTTGCATTCAAAGGGGACACGATTTCTGAATTGATTAAAAATCGTTTATCTAAATGTGTTAAACGCACTTTTCCTGCAGCTGACTTGCAACTAGTTTTTACCAGCCGAAATATGATTAGACAATGCGTCAAGGATAGATTACCGCTTATGTCCACATCTATGTGCATTTACTCTTTTACCTGCTCTTGTGGAGCTGATTATATTGGACGTTGTAAGCGTACTCTCCGAAAAGGTGTAGCTGAACACTATCCGGTTATCAGCATCTGCCAATATCGTGATCGGAGGTGTAGAACTGTAAATCGATTAGTTTTATGTAGGCGATCCAGCTTTTCAGCTTTTCATGCTTTCTATCTGTTTACCGAATTCTGAAGTCAGTCAGTATATAAATAGATTTATGTATAGAAATTAATAATGGACAGTACTCATAAAACTGACCTTGACTGATGAGCATAAATTGAGTTAACGGATAATTCATTCATTCCTGGTTGGTGTTGGTGTTGTTCACTAGAAGTACAACAATTATTCATATTCTCATTTGATCGGTCCCAACAAGTTGAACTTAATTCATCCGCTGGTATATCCTCAGAATCATCTAAAGTGAATGAAACTGGTTTTTCTAATATTGTATTCGAAAGTGTACTGTATCTAAGACAATTATTAGTTTTCTCTAATTCATTGCCACAATTTTTTGACTTTATTTCTGAGATGTTATTCATCATGTTGGAAGATTGAGCTTTGGTAGCTGATTTAAATCACAAAAAGATAAAAGTCGACAGTTAATATTTGGTAATGTTATAAATTCAGTTGATAGTGGCTGTGACTAGCTGTAGAATCCACTAGATTCACAAGCTCGCTAGGCCTGTCCCAGAAGAAGGTTCGAAATCCCTGTGGTGGTGAGTACTGATGAAGAGTTCGGAACTAGGACGAAACAGTTGTCCAGTACTCCCTATGGTTGGTTTTCTAATGGTTCTCTAACTGATGTCAGCTCATGATGAAATCCCTACAAAACCAATACTTGAAAATCAATCAGTTTATCTTTACTACTGGAGTTCAAAGAGGATTATTATGGATAGTTGGAATTTAAACGAGCAAGAGAAATGTGTTTCGATTGTGTAGTGGTGATTGTTTTTTTTAATTTATTTTATTCCTTTACCTTCCAATTGCAACAGAGGGCTTTAAACTTCGAAGTTTCAGTAGCAGTGGTGCTTAGTTTTTACAGGATAGGGTTGCCAGCCTTATGTCCAACCTTCCCTCTTTACCGGGCTTTCTACCGAAGGAATACGTCAGACGAGGATCAAAACCCGGACCACATGAGGCATGGTTGGCAAACATCCTATAACTGAACAACCTACTATAATAAATCATTATTTCTTGAAAAGATATTGAAGAGAAATGGGTACCCTTGAAGGTTCACCAACAAGTGTGAAAGATCTGAAGTCACAAATGTAAAACAAATCACAGTGGGTAAAAAGTCAATCTACATTCAACTTCATTATAAAGGTGAAAACATTCCAGCGATGATCAACAGAAGGCTGAGTACATCACCTATAGTCATAGCCTATCCTGCAGCTAAGCTCATCCCCGTTTATCGAACAACTCGCTATTCTGTGGTACAATCAAAAATCGATAGATATCCTTTTCATGTTAACTCCAACTGTCTACAAAAATTTACATGTATCTGCGGGAGCAGTTACATTGGAAGGACAGAAAGAAGGGCATATCTACGATTTTCTGAACATGTACCAAAAAGCTTATGTCTAAAGGGAACAAATGCTTTAAACAGTGCCATCCATTGCCAGACATCTCCTCGACACGGGTCATGAGGTGGACGTAGAAAAGTTTTCAAGATTATTAATAGGCGAAAAAGCTCAATTCTCCTCAAGTTTGCTGAAGTCATTCTCATCAAGCGTCTGAAATCTGATTTATGCGTCCAGAAAGAAGTGGTTGTCAGTCATTCTTTACCCTGCCTGGTAACTGGATATTTTTCATCTCTCTTTCATCTGAATGCGAAGTGCTGAAAAGTTTCCATTGTGTATGATTATTATTGTTCAGAATAGTGTTTAATATTACACATATACATATATGTATATATTATTATTACTGTATGCATATACTGATCGATTGATTTTTACTTAAAATGAACTCTGTGCAAGTATGGTAAAATTGTTTTTGTAGATATATTTAATAATGAATGTCTTCGGCCTGTAAGCAGATGACGAGAAGGAAACGAAATAACACAGCGATGGTACCACTTTATTCTGCTAAAACTGTAGTTCTTGCTCTGTTCAAATTCATTAAAGGGAATAAATGTATGAAATCAATATTTCATTTATCTAAATACAATTCCTATACAATCATAACATTAATACTCTTCCTTCATTGGTTGGAGCCACATTAGAAGCAGCCTGGCTACCACGCTAAGGAGTCATTCAGTTAAATGGCCAAGACATAACTTTATCGGGATAGGTGGCCATATTACGAACGATATCAGTAACGATATTCCTTAATGCGGTCAAGAAGTAATCAAGCTTAGAGTTTTCAAGAAATTTATCGATCACGCAACTAACTCACCCACTGCACGCAGCAGCAGAAATATACTCATACAAAAGCGACTAATATAGTTAATCTGTCATTGAGTAATCTTAGAGCAAAGAGACTGTTTATTAACCAAACCAGTAAGAGTATGGTCATAAATTCGAACTGTATGTTGAAGCTACTGAGTTTATAGTCGAAAACAAAAGGGAGGTACACCCGCATTGTGAACGCACAATGTTGATAGTTTTGGAATGAAATAAAAAAAAAACAGCTGCCCAGTAAAACTGACTGAATAGAACTTGGCACAAAAGTGGAACAGTTCAACTTGCCACGACGCCTAACCAAGCAAACATAAATGTAGAGAGAGAGATGTAAAAAAAAACTTTAACTACATGGAGAATAATGAGAATCTAGTAGAGCTTGGAGATTATAAACGAGTGAACAAATCTGAGCTACTAGGAAAAATTTCACGCCATGTCATCAACAGTCTTCAGCCACTAGTTCTTAGCGTTTCAAGAATTCAAAGAGAGATCATTGTGTAACAACAGAAGACAAGAGCCACGCAACAGATCCTTTATTAAGGAAATCAACACGTATTTATACATATTTCATGTACATTATTATAGCTTATTCAAGCAGACAAACACAGTCCTCTGATTGGTTGTTTCTTGCTCAAGGTTATTCTGTACTGCTTGTGACTGGTTTCTCAGAAAGTTAAGCCATATATCTGCGAATCGTATTTGGCCACGTCAAGTTTACTGTGATTGGTTGTTGAATCAGTCTTGTTCATATTTTCTCACGGTCAATATTAGCGACATAGACAGTGACGTTAATTAATGTCTACCAATCGGCTAGCAGCCTGCTCTCACCACAATTGTAATGATGACGAAAAAAGTCAACTAACATTTAATAAACAGCAGAGTAAATACTTCAGTATACTGACTATAACCCTTTAAATAGGGTGGTATTTTGATATGGTTCAAAATCGTTATCAATCGTTGGTGCAGATGCATTCACTCTTTGTCATTGATCATATCCAATAAAAGTCTATTGTTCTTCCATATTACTATTCTTTTTGTCTCACACTTACGTATATTATCTCTCTTTTGAATCTCTCTTCTCTTGCTTTGAGTGCCACATGGAGGGACAGTAGCAACTCGAACTGCTGCACATCGGTGAAAAGTTCTACACTGAAACCAGTTAGTCAGTCAGTCAAATAGGTTGGTAGGGCAAAATGAAAGAAATCTTAAGGTGATTCGTTGAAATCATAGTTTAATGAGGTTTTTCGATTAATATTTTGCTTACTAAGTCTTCTTTTCAATAGACGTCATGTTTCCTTCTAGGGATTATTATCACCATCAGTTGAGGGATAATTTATGGACTCCAAAGAACCTTACAAGGATTCGGTTAGTTTCGAAGTAAATATTTTCAAGAATCAGAGAAACAGGTGCCTAGTAATTAATGATTTTTAATACATTTCTTAACTTATGTCAGTTTTTTACGTAATCGACTACGAACTTGGCCTAGTGGTTGAATTATGTTAGAAAAAAACTCTAACAAAGTGCAAGCACTGAATAAGATGAACAAATCGACCCATTTATTATTAAAGTGCTATGTATGTGTCAGGTCTTATCACTTATTATATACGGAGCATTGTCTCAACTACAGGAAGTCGGAACGGACGAGGATGTCAAATCGAGCGAGAATCGGGAAGGCGAGAAACACATTATTCATCAACCTGAAACCAATCTGGAAATCTTCGTCACTCAGCCAGCATCAACAACAAAATTCAGTCGGATTTTCAATACAAACAGCGTCAAGTCAGTCAGTTCTCCTATACGGATCGGATCAGAAACTTGGCGGGCGGGTGGGTCACAAAGAATATTTCCAACAGGCTGGCTATTGCAGACCTTTATCAACAACTAATTGTTTTCGTTCCATACTGAAGATCAGATAGCCGGGCCGGAATCACCAGAATCACCAACAAGAAACTATGAGAACAAACAAACAAAACAAGAACCGAACGCCCAACAAATATGCAGGAGAAGGTGGATTGAGATGGATTGGACACTCGCTCTCTGAGGAGGCCGCTGGTTAACATCGCGCGCGCGTTCGGTCATTGCTCGAGTGGAACCCGAAAGGGAAGCGGCGAGTGGGTCGTCAGTGCGAGGGTGACATGGAGGAGACGGTGTGAAGAGGAGTTGAAACAGTATGGACTGAGATGGATGCAGGTGAAAAGCACAGCAGAAGACAGAAGCAAGTAGCGAAGTGCATTTGAAGCCCTATAATAATGTGTCAGGTCAGATTGCTTTCAAGTTAGACTACGAGTTGACTTCAGTTAGAGAAATATTGCAAAACCACCAAGAAGTAGTGGACAGCTGTTTCGTTGTAGCCTGAGACTCTTCGTCAGTACTCACCACATAACATGATAGGAAATCGAACCGAACCCAAGACATTTCGATTACGAGGCGAGCCCACTCAGAGAGGCCATCCAGCTATTGAGATGGAATTTATAATAGGTTGTTAATCAATTAATTTCAGTAATTTCAGGATTCTAAAAGCCCATGAATTCTAATTCAGTTAATTTGCGATATACAGCACCATCCTCACCAGCTGGTGTGGTCGGCCGGTCGCATATTCAACTTAGTAGACTCCATTGGAAACAAACTTCAAGCAACTTTATCCTGTGGTCAGTCACTAATGGGCATTAGATTGATTCTCGAGTGTTGGTTTGTAGGGATTTGATTGATTTCAGAAGATATCGCCTCGTAATCTGAAAGTCATAGATACGATCCTTGGCGGTGGAGTCATGAATGTTTACCACTGAAGAGCCTCGAACTGAGACGAAACAACTGTTCAGTGATCCCTGGTTTTTAATGATTCTCTAACTGAAGTTCGTTTCTACTTCTGACTTGATTCATCTAATAATTTATTAGGAAAATAATAATACCGTAACATTTTTTAAATTTCAAATACAATAATGCAAATAAACTTAGACAAAATTCAATAAATAGGCAATTATAAAAGTTAAAAAGCAACTTACGAGCATTCAAATTATTTAATGAACCAGTTGAACTACAAGTATTATCGAGCTAAAACAACGACGACAACAACAACAACAAAAAGCAACAGTGAAGAAAATACATAAGAGAGACCAATATCTGAAAATATTTTATATTTTATAATCGGGTCCCAGTGGTTTAATGATCTACGAGCTCACCCTGTATCCAGAAGGTCCTGGGTTCGAACTCCGGTGGGTGCGTACTGCGGAAGAGTCCCAAACTAGGCTGACGAAACAGCTGTCCAGTACTCTCAGGTGGGTTTTCCAATGGTTCTCTAACCAATGTCAGCTCGTGATGAAATCCTGTAACCAATCAACCAAATTCCTACAAACCAACACTTAAACTTTTTAATGTGGTTGTGTTCTCTGAACTGGATAATTTGCAAGGCTTACGGCTATTCTTCTTTCGGATAGTAGAAAATAAAGAAGTGTGAATGCTAATCCATACATTCATATTATTATTTACTTATTTATTAATTAATTCGCATTCTGTTTATTTGTATTCAGTTGACGGAGACAGACTTTTTATGTACTACACTATAAGAGACATTTATTTGTATGCGGCTTGATGATATTGTCCAGTTCGTGGAGGTTGAGCTGCACGGAAAAGGGATTCGAACACAGGACTTATTACAGGCTGAAAGGTGTACGGGTAAGCCAATGAGCCAAGTTTTCCACATTAATTATTATTATTATTATTAATTAAACTGTTAAAAAGTTAATTGATTGCAAATGACTGATTATATGTTTCATGCCCATTACCCCTTTATCAGTCAGGATTAACATACAGTCTAGTTGAGAAATCTTGGCTTATTCAGTTGACTAAGTTTTAGAGTATGAATAGGCATATCGTTAATTTAGAGTTATGAACAAAATCATGCGCTATACATCAGCAAAAAGAAAGAGGCTTATCATCTATCCCTCCATAATATAAGTATAAAACTTGAGCACTGTGGTAGAGTAAAACTCCATAAGATTTTATTTTGATAAATCACACAGTGTTGTTACACAGTAATACTAACTGATGACGACGTTTCGAGCACAAATTATTGCCACCTATAATCATCATATCAAGTCACTCACTCACACAACTTTTTTCCTTCATTCATATACATATGTGGAAGTGACTAGATATCTGAATAAAAATCAATATGTGATAATGTACAATCAGAAATAATTATATGAGTGTTATTGATCAATTACAATCAGATGGGAAATAATACGAGTGTTTTTACAGTCAAAATAAATAAATAACTTGTTAGAATGTTGTGATGTGTTTAAATTGAAATAGAATTTCGAGATTATTTATTATCCTCCTCTGATTTGACTGACTGACTGGAGGTAATAATGTCTTCCATATTTCTGGTATTTGCATTGAGTCATTTTTGTTGAATGTGTTGGGTGTAGACTTGATGAACCAGTCAGGATTCAGTAATCAACCTCTCTGTGTCTCCACCTACCTAGATTACTTCTTAGAATCTTAACCCTCTCCCACGCTGTTTTGCGGTTGTTTGTTGATGCGTGAAGTGCAATTGCTGAGCTTTTTCCTAAATTATTTATCTTCTCAGGGTCAACTATTCTTACCTTAGCTAAATTCTTATGTTCCGACAATGTGATTAACCTCAATCTACTAGTTTGACCTATATAGTTGACCTCACAGTTATTGCAGAGTATTTTGCAAATTACATTATCTTGTTTAATTGCGTCCACCGGGTCTTTTAGCCCTCCATGAGATTTATAAGTGAAAGCGCAAATGTTGTAATTCTTTTTATTTTTTCTAGTGTTGCTCTTTGTAAGCAAATCTTCACGTATTTTAAATATGTGAAAATAAAAATAGTAATTAAGATGGTAAAATATTCACAAGCCACGCGGGAGATCCAACTTCAACACCAGGGGCGACACATTCTTAATTCCCCCCCTCCGCAGCCTTCAGCTGGAATTAAGTCTAGAAAACAGAGAAGTCTGCAAATGAGGTAAGTCGGCCTATTATTTCCGTTCGAATCGGAATGCAAGATGTGACAAGAAAGAAGATTGAGATGAATTTTTGTAAAATTTTTGGAAACCAAACTAAAATACAGAAATTACATATTTTTGGGGGGGGGGAATAACCATAGTTTGTAGCGCTGAACAAACCCTATCATCACTCAGAAAATCTCTTCTCTGTCATCCATCTTTATCCAACTATCTTTCAATGACGGCTAACTATTATTACTTAAAATTAAGGTCATGTTAGCTCATGATGGAATCCTCCAACCAGTTAACCAAAACCCCTGCAAAACCAATACTGGAAAATTAATCTGATGCTCACTAGCGACTGGCCCTACTCAGGCAGTTAACCTGAGGTTTCAGTGGGAAGCCGTGGACAGTAGGATGCAGCGCGGCAGGTTGAAGGTGAGGCAGTAACTCATCATCGAAGAAGACATTGCGAAGTGGTCTCGCTATGTCATGAATTATCATAAGTTAGAATTCATGAACTGGTCATTGGGTCGAGTCCCAATGGCTGCTTAATGGTCTACGAGCTCACTAGCTTTGTAACCAGAAGATCCTAGGTTCGAAGCCTGGCAATGAAGTGTCTGGAACTAAGACGAAACAGCTGTCCAGTACTCCCTGTGACTGGTTTTCCAATGGTTCTCTAGCTGATGTTAGCTCATCCTCCATGAAAGGTAGAAAAATGAAAAAAGTAACACGATACGGCTGTGATACTCTATAAAATATGCACCACATTCAACCAAAATAGTAGGTGTTGTGTGAAGACAATATAACTATTGTGGAATAAGTGAGTCACAATCACAATAGACGGAAGGAAATATTTACAGGGGAACAAGTAGTACAGTACACATCAAAAAAATACATTTATAATACAGTGATAAAGATGACCTAGAATTTTGGTTAAAAATAATAAGCGAAACACTGTTTTTTCTCATTCCCTTGCGTTCAAGCTTTGAGGGGTCAGTAGCAATGACGTTTTCTGTATTAGGTGACTGTCTAGGTGAAGTTTAGGTAGAAGTGCGTCGTCGGTCAGGAAGTGAACGAGGACGTATCATGTAGCAGCTGACAAGCATTCTTTTATGAAACTACCTACACTGATTAGCAAAACACTAAAAACAAAAATGTGAACTTCTTTGCTTTTGAAATAATAGAGAGGACTTGTAGCTCAGGTGGATGATTTGCAATTAATACTGTTCTCTGAACTGGTTGGTTTAGTTGCGGAGCTTTCATCGTCGTCCTTCTGGACAACATCCATCTTCAGCGCAATATTTTGCATAAAGTGAAATGATTTAAATATTTTCCATGAGTGATAGAATTGCGTCTCCCGGTAACCATCTTTATATATATATATATATATGTGAATCATAAAGACGATAATATAGGGAACCGCTACAATTATAGTGGACAGACTATTCAACCAGCCAAAGTAATAATAATAAATTAGGCAATTGGGTGAGCATTTTACAATACATGGAAAACGTCACATGTTTTTCTAAAACTACTATGTATAGATAGGTATTAGAATAAAAATATATTTATTATTATAACTATTATACGCAGAATAAATTAAACATTAAAAGTATGTAAAGAGTCATATGCTACATAAATCGCCTTTGGATAAGAACAAAGTGATGCTAATACAACATAATAGGATTAATATTATGAATTCACTTTCAGTTAACATGTGAATAATGGCTGTACATATCCAACGGATATCAGTTCTATTATTATTATTATTGGGCACATGTTGATTATCCTAACAATAAGAGTAAACTGAAATTACATGGCACAGTGTCACGCAAAACATCAAACACAAGGTAATTTAAATAACTTGGTGGAATAGTCTTTAACTCCAGAGGCAGCTGATACAGATATGAATCTAATAAAGAGCATAAGGTTTGTCAGCATCGTAAATACATCCGACTGATGAGTCTTGTAAAAAAGACGAGAAATGGGTCTAAAGAACTTGAACTTATTACTTAAACCTTTAGGTTCCGAGTGGAATATCCCGGCTTTTCACGCAGTTCTCTATTATATATTTTTTAGCTGGCTCCACGATTGTCCATAGGCTTTGATCTCCTCCGTGTCACCCTCCCTCGCATCTACGTCTGACTTGTTGTTTCTTACTCAAGCTTCACTAGAGGGGCTGGTGCGGGATATCACTCAACGGTCTCTGTAAATGAATGTGAACATTGAACGCTGGTTCATTGACCTTGGTCGCCATTGGCGGGCAACTCAAAGGCACGAATGATTCAATCGTGCACAAGTTGGAAGAAGACTAAAGAATACGAATAAAAGTACAATACATTCCTTGTAAAACATTTGTTCATAGACAAACGAATTTAACTGCCGAACAATACAATTTCTTATTGGTCCTTGTGTTTTGGAGTTAAAGGCGATAATCGTACCTAGTCCATAATTGTTGATTCGGAGCGTCTTCGCAAATAATAAGAACTTAAGGTTAAGTTCTTTGACAGTCTCCTTAGCGTGTGTTCGATGTATCTTCATTTTCTTCGGAAGATTAATTCAGCGATAAGTTTCTGACTGATTTGTTCCCACAGTACTTTGTTGCTTATCCTTTCTGGCCAATAGGATCATCAGTATCCAGCCAGCAGACGTAGTTGTTTATAAAAGTCTGGCGCCTGTTGTGACGCGCCAAGTCTGTGAATCACATAGGGTAACTGATATGAGGTAAATGTTGAAAATTCAGATCTTGTTCTCTATGCATAGTTCAGTAAATTCCTACGCTGATTTTCGAGTAACGATGCTTTAAATAGTCAGTAGAACAATTGGATCTCATCTTTCCAACTCTCTCTTTCTTTTGTTATCTTCTCTTTTGTTTCTCTCTTCCTTAAAAATTCCACTTAAAACATTCTTCTTCGTTTTTTCACACCTTTTTGGTACCACTTACGCCAGTAAATATGATAGCAGTATCTACTTTTCTATCCCCTTTAAACATTCTGTTCACTTTTGGCTTTGCTACCAACATCCCAATATGTTGTTGTCAAAACTAACTGAGACTACCCTTAATCTATGTAGAATTTTATTTATTCTGAATGTACAAATTGGTTGCAATACTGTAGTGAAATGCAGAGAATTCCATTATATATCACAAATACTGTTTTGGAATAAAGCAAATTATTATTATTATTATGATGATTTCTTCAGGTTGATGGTGTCTAACATTAGGATCCAGAAAGATAAGATAAAATAAGATAATAGCTTTATTCCAAAACAGTACTTGTGATACAGAATGAAATTCTCAGCATTTTTACTACAATATTGCATCCATTAGTGAATTGAATAAATCAAAAATTCAATTCAATAATTAATATATGACCCGTTGCACAAGAGATGACTCTCGTGGCCTAAGTGGTCTAGTGGATAAGGCTTTGGCGTTTGAAACTATGGGCACTGGGTTCGAGCCTCGGTGGGAACATCATCACTCACTGAGAAATGCAGGTACATCCATCCGACGAGTCCCAATTAGGACGAAATGCGCATCCTGGATTCCACTGCTAGCCACCATCACCAATTGTATACAAATATTGCATCCAGTTAGTACATTAACAATAAATAAAGTTCTACATAGATTATGGGTAATCTCAGTTAGTTTTGACAACAACATATTAATTAGCATGTCGGTAGCAAAGCCAAAATTGAACAGAGTGTTAGAAGGTGTTAGAAAAGTAGATACTACTAGCATATTTACTGGCGTAAGCGGTAACAAAACAATCGAGATATACAGAGTGTGAAAGAACGAACAAGAATGTTTTAAGTAGAGTTTGTAAGGAAGAGAGAAACGAAACAGCACATAACAAAAATAAATACAGAAAGAGAAAAAAAAGGTAGAGAGAAAACGTTGTACCTATAAATGATATGAGTTGGAAAGACGAGATCCAATTGTTCTACTGACTATTTAATCAGTTAAAGGTTTCACACCTAATGCTTTCTTTATCGCACAGAACACGAGCTAAGTAGGGTATGGATGAGTTTTTGTACTTACTAGTGCGGGCATATAGTTTCCTATATAGGCTTCTGGTTTTCCCTGAAGAGATACAAGGGGAGCGTTGTGAATGTAGAGGGTGTTGTGAGTCAGATAAAATGGATTTTGCCCATTTTTCACATGAGTCCATGTGCCTGTCCACCAGAATATTAACAAGCTGGCTAAGTGGCACACTGCTTACCCCGCTGACAACCTTTAACATCCTGCGTAATAAGGTATAGTCTTTCTTCAGTAGCCCTGGAAAAACTAAGGGGGAACAATAGAAAATAATAGGCAGAATACGGGAGTTAACGAATTGTAGGAGTAAGGGTTGGGTGGATTATTCAAGAATGTCTTAACTTCTTGATGTAGAAGGTAAGACGGAATATTTTCTTAGAAATCGTCAAGATATGAGACGACGAGGAAAGATCAGAAGATAGAGTGACGCCTAGGTAAAACAACAGCGAAACAAATACCACATTAATCTCAAGGTAAGTATTTCGGTGGTCCAGCTGTGGAGTGTTCACCACACATACATACGGTGGGGTTCGGATTCGATCCCCGGTCAACGCACTTATACACTTTTGTCTAGTGAATCTTACACAGAGAGAAAAGCCTTACTTTCCGCTTAGAATGCAGGGAATGAAAAAGAAACTATACAATCACAGAAAGGTTTATACTAAGAATTGATAGGTAAAAAGAGAAAGAGCACGTTGACCCAACATTAACCAATCAATGTGAAATTCGTAATAATAATTTCAAAAAAGTAAAAACTGATACCGGTTGCGCAAGTAGTGGCCTACATGACCCGGAAAGTGACTATCTGTCATTTGAAACGATTAGGTGAAGGGTTCGATTATCAGTGCAAACAGTATCAGTCACTAGAAATACAAGTGTATATTCATCTGAGGAGTATTAAATAGGGAGAAACGCGTGTCATGGATTCAAACTTGCCAGCGAAACTTTTCTAAATTTGCTGCATGAGGGTTTCGCATTAAAATTCAACTGTGATTGTGATGCCACAAGTTGCCTGTGATTTCGGTTAATCATAAATCATTAATTTGCTTAGAAAAAGGAATGCCTAAATCGATTTCCCAGAGTTTTACAATAAATAAAGCATGACCTCAATTAAAGCAGGACTAAAATAGTCAATAAAATGCAATAAAAAGCGCGAATATTTTAAATTATTTGCAATGACCTACCTACCTGTAATTCATTTATTCGATGTAAACTTTGCAATACAAGTACTGCCATAGCTAAACTTTGTATATCGTGGATACGAAGAAAATGTTTAATCCTGTTCATGAAATAATAATCATTAAAATACAGAAAAATAACATATTTTGTAATAAATTTTGAAATGAAATGAGAATTAAAAGAAAGGTGAGGCATGATCAAACAAGTATACATACATTTTAGGAAGGTGAAGGCCGGAGCTTACTAATACTACTATTTCCCGTTATTTACATTTGGCAGTAAATATAATAATAATAATAATAATTTACTTTATTCCAAAAACAGTACTTATGATACAGAATGGAATTTTCAGCATTAATCACAATATTACGGCATCTAATTTCCTCAAATTATAAATAAAATTAATCACACAGAAAATTTTCCACATTTACAATAGAAGTAGTGTCAAAAACATGCAGCATATAAAATGGAAATGATAATAATGTGTGCGTCGGTGGCACAGTGGTTAGGACTCTCGCCGACCATGCACATGGTCCAGGGTTCGAGCCCACGCCGGCGCACACCTGATATCTATGATTATTCACTATTCTCGCATATGATATACATATTTATGTCTGCACCTATATACCATTTTAGGGCTAGATGGAATCCCAACAGAAGCATTGAAAATGGATCCAGAGACAACAGCGGACTTGATGACGCCACCACCACTGGAGAAGATGTGGAAAGAGGGCAAAGTACCCGAGGATTGGAAGAAAGGATACTTATTCAAACTACCAAAGAAAGGAGACTAAAGTCAATGGAAAAACTGGCGTGGAATTATGCTTCTGTCCATTCCAAGCAAAATACTAAGCCGCATCATCCTGGAGAGAATCAAACAAGCCTTGGATGAAAAACGTCAACCGGAACAAGCTAGATTCGGAAGAAATAAGTCATGTACTGATCAAATCGCCACACTACGGATCATCATTGAACAGAGCTTGGAATGGCAGTCACCTCTGTATCTCACTTAACTTCATCGACATTGAAAAAGCCTTCGACAGCGTCGATCAAGAGGTTATTAGAAAACTACTTCGCTACTACGGGGTGCCACCGACAATTATAAATCTCATCCAACAGTTGTACGACAATGCTGTATGCGAAGTAATTCACAACGGGAAACTTACGGAATCTTTTGAAGTGAAGACGGAGTAAGACAAAACCGCCTATTATCGCCAATGATTTTCCTGATTGCAGTAGGTTGGATAATGCGACAGACAATGGGCAGCGAGGAAAAAGGGATAAAATGGACCCACACAAAAAAGAACTTGTAAGATCTGGATTTCGCCGATGATATATGTCTGATTTCCCATAAACTGGAAGATATGCAAGTGAAAATCAAACAAGTTGGCAGAAGAAGCATCCAGAGAAGATAGGACTTCCTTCAGGTGATGAAGATTCCTGGCCAACACCAACAGCAACAACAACAGACAACAATCAGCCAGCATAAATTGGAGGAACCTGAAAGAAACAACCTCCTCTACTTCAACTATAGGCGGATGGAACTGATGAGGATATTTTCAAGCAAGGACCGGGAAAGCAAGACAAGCTTTCACTACTCTCAAGTCTGTGTAGAGGTCAACAGCACTCAGCATGAAAATGAAAATAGGATCCGGATTTTCAACTCCAATGTGAAGTCGGTCACTGTTACTCACTATACGAATCAGAGACTTGGCGTGTCATGAAGAGCACTTCAAACAAACTACAGACCTTCATCGACAGCTAACTGTCTTCGCTCAATACTCAAGATCAAATGGCCGGTCAGATAAGATCAGCAATAGGAATCTCTGGCAATGAGCGAACCAACCCATCAGGAACCAATTGTGAAACAAATAAGCAGGAAGAAATGGAGATGGATTGGCTGGCCATACTTTGAGGAAACCATCAAGTGACATCACTAGACAAGCCATTGGTCGAGTGGAACCCGACTGAAAGAAAGTGGCGAGTTGGTCGTCAGTGCGAGGGTGACTTGGAGGAGGTCATGTGAAGAGATAAAAGTATAGGGATAGGCTTGGAGCCAGGTGAAAACTCTAGCAGAGAACCGAACGCAATGGAGACACGCGGCTGAAGCCCTATGTTCCTCTAGGAACTGAAGGAAATAATAATAATGTATACCACTTATAAATCTTGTCAGTAACACATGCCACACTTTCATTTTCTTATAACATTCTACAAACTTAGGTTATATTATTGATTCTCACTTCTTTTTCGATGAGGTGTGAAAAGTTTGAAGACTATAGAAAATTCATCAGTCTCGTTTATTACCTGTCAAATTTTACCCACAACTATTTTACTATCCAATTTGAATGAGAGATTAAAGGCGTTTTAATGGAAATCATTACGTAACAGTTATTTATTTTCATTATTTTTACGTTTTATTCAAAGAAGGTGTGAAAAGTAAATTAAATGAGGAGAATTCTTATAATATACCTAAACACATCCTACTGTGAATAAACATTATTATTATTGATCTTTTTATTGCATCATTAATGGGTGAATTTTTGGAACTTCAGGAACCAAATAACCTTGACTAACTCATAAATTTGTTAATTAATAGTAAATTTGACTGCATACAGACAGATGAATGAGGGAATTCTGTCTTGTCATAACATCTAAGCTTAATCCTTAAATCGAATCTAAACTAACCTTAACCCCAACGCAACGCTTAAAAAATTAGTAAAAATAATCAACGACGAACTTTGGAAAAAGGAACAAACGCACACACACACACACGAAATTCCTGATTAATGAAGTGATTGATCCCATATCAAGGTGATTTTGAAGGTTCTGAGTGGTAGCTGCTATTCTATAATTTTATCCATTACGAGGATTAATAAACATTAGGACAAGACATATAAGTGAACAATATTGCTGTTTTCAATTAGATCCTCTTCTTCAGGCTTTACTCTAATTGACATAGATTTATATATGAAAATGTATAGATTTATGTATAAAAATGTATACAGAAAAACTACATCTGTAGGACAATATACATATTTCCGCAGTTTTGTACCAATCCGATACAAAGTCAATTTGGTCAGATGCCTGACGAATAGAGCCAGACGTATCTGTACAAATGACTCCCTACAAAATGAGTTAGAATACATCCAAAATACGCTAGTCCTAATGGTTTATCCTATTAAATTTGTAACAAGACAGGCACATGAACACCAAGTATGATAAAGAGAAACTGACAACAGTTGAAAAGAAACAACTGTTCATGAAATTGCAATTTAATGGGGACGTGGCTAGCGTAGTCTTTCATCTGAGATTATCGAGGGTAATGAAACGGACTGATACTGCCGCCACTCCTTGTTCGTCATTTTCCAGTCGACCAATTATGATTGCTCAAGTGAAAGACAAGCTACCTAGCTCTGTCACTTCGATGTGTATCTATAAATTCGTTGCTCCTGTGAAGAAAGCTATATAGGCCGAACAACTAGACAGCTTAACAAAAGCATTAATGAGCATCTTCCTTCATGGAACGGAACAGGTCAAATAAAATCCACACGAAGTTCTATTTCGGCTCATTTAATTGATAGTGGTCACCAAGTGGACAAAAATAGTGCCTTCAAAGTTATCGCATTCCATCAACCCTTTCGAACGGAGTTCAAATCCGCTTTTTACACATAGCCGAAGCTATGAGAATCAATTCGAGAGAACAATCCTAGTCTTTGCAAACAAAAGAAGTTTGTTCTACCTTTGTCTCTCCCTTGCTTTGCCTAGATGAATTCTATTCAAAACCCTCCCATCCTTTCTTATCTTCCATCTCCTTCGTACTTTTATGATATCTATTTAAACTCAGATTATCTGTCCACTTCACCTTTAGTAATACGTAACTTTTAAGATTTGACCTAATTTATTTATTGAATTGTTTACATGTACACACACATATTACTACCTTCGTTATTCTTATCGCCACCTGCGTAAACCATATTATCAATATTTTGTTATCATTATAATCATCGTTATCAACTACGTTCAAAACGTTTACTACATTATTATTATTATTATTATTTGATCCACAAAATCACCGTCATTAGTTAAAAACTTTTATATATGAATCTATGTAAATTAGAGTAAAGCCTGAAGAAGATCTAATTGAAAACAGCAATATTGTTCGCTTATGTGTCTTGTTCTAATAAACATTAGATGAATTCCTCCTTTCAAGAGCCAAAGTTATTCCATATCCCGCTGTAACTATGGAACCGGATAGTATTTGGCAGCTGAATTATTTATTGACCGATTGAACATGTTTTTCGCATTCTGCCCCTTTTTATCTTGCATTCATGTTTTCTATGTTATTGTACGAGGATCTTTCATTTCTCCTCTTCGCCATTTAATCCCTTCCCTGTGCTATTCATTATTATTGCACAAGACATCATCCACCATATACTACTTGCGAAAGCTTATCACAGTAGCAAACATCACATCTACTGAAGAAATACTGAAGTCAAAACGCTACAATGATAGTCTTTGAAATGAAGTATTGGCAAAGACTTGGAACTCAGCTGGATAGTGTTCAATGAGATGGATGGTTTGATTGAGCAAGTTTTTCATTGTCCTTGTGGACAACAACTTCAGAGCTGACGGACACTGAAAGCTTCAATAGGGGCTACAATAACAACTCTGACTATATGAAGTCTATACTCTCAAAGATAAAAAAGAATTTACAATTTCATACATTTCGTTCCCTTGATAAATTTCGATAGAGAAAGAAAGACCAGATATGCAGTATAAATTAATGATATCATCATTCTATTTCACAGGTGTTCATCAGCTGCACACCACTACCTGAAATTACAATGGTTATAAATATTAACATTTCATACTTCATTGTTTGAAAGGTAATAGAGAAAACATTATAAGGTGAACGCATCTGGAATGTAAGTATTACAATTTTGAGTTAAAGTTACCTTCAATTTATATACTATCAATTTATGAAGGAAAAGAAAAAGGGGGATAGTGAGAAAAGACAGAAAACAGAAAAAATCTAATGAACAGTGTCAACATGGCGACTCAAGAAGGTCAAAGTTTATTAATTTGAAAACTTGCTTAGTGAGTTGAACCCATTAGTGTGTATGACTAATCAGAGTAATGAAAGTGATATGGTTACCAAGGGAGTAAGAGATTGACTACACTCTCTTTCTGTATGTGCCATAGGTTTGGTCTGTGACGTTTGATTGCAAATGCTTCAGTACATCATAGTAGTAGATTCGCTGTCCTTTGTATGTTTAATATTTTGAAGGATTCGGAAATCTCGACAAGGTGACCCGTATTCAAAAGATGTCTGGTAATTGCACTTTGTAAATATCTGCTTTCTTTTAAGCATAAGTTTCTCAGAATATGCTCTGAATATCGGATATTAGCCCTTTTTGACCTTCTTGAGTTGCTATGTTGACACTGTTTATTAGATTTTTTCTGTTTTCTGTCTTCTCTAATCCCCCCTTTTCTTTTCCTTCATAAATTGATAGTATATAAGGTAACTTTAACTCAAAATTGTAATACTTACATTCCAGATGCGTTCACCTTATAATGTTTTCTCTATTACCTTTCAAACAATGAAGTATGAAATGTTAATATTTATAACCATTGTAATTTCAGGTAGTGGTGTGCAGCTGATGAACACCTGTGAAATAGAATGATGATATCATTAATTTATACTGCATATCTGGTCTTTCTTTCTTTCTTTATCGGAATTTACAATTCTACATAAGTCCTTCTGCTGCAAAAAAGGCATCACAAACCATGAAAGATTGAAAAGGACAAATTTAAACCTACCATGTATTAAATAAAGGTCTTCCAATTAATTGTGAAGCTAATGGTTGGCAAGTTTGATAAATATTATTTGATCGATCAAATGAAACTGACAGGACAAGGGCATATTGCCAAAACTGGAGAAAAAAATAAGTGTTAACACAAAGGGGAAAAAAACAAAGGAGGCAATGGTTATTATTTTAAGTGGTATAAGTATAAAACTTGGGCACTGTGGTGGTAGGAGTATAACTCCATTATGGATAAGATTTTATTTTGATAAAGTGTCACACAGTGTTTGTTATACAGTAATATTAAACCTTTCGAGCACAAACTATTGCCACCTATAATCATCATATCAAGTCACTCACTCACACAACGTTTTTCCTTCATTTATATACATGTGTGCGATTGATGATTAGATATTTGAATAAAAATCAATATGAGATAATGTACATCTGGAAATAATCATATGAGTGTTATTGATCAATTACAATCAGATGGGAAATAAGACGAGTGTTTTTACAGTCAAAATAAATAAGTAACTTGTTAGAATGTTGTGATGTGCTTGAATTGAAATAGAATTTTGAGATTATTTATTATCCTCCTCTGATTTGACTGACTGGAGGTAATAATATCTTCCATATTTCTGGTGTTTGTATTGAGTCATTTCTATCGTGTATGTGTTGTGTTGGGTGTAGACTCAGTCAACCAGGCAGGATTCAGTAATCAACCTCTCTCTCTCCATCTACTTATATTACCTTTTAGAATCATAACCCTCTCCCACCCTATTGTATGGTTGTGCGTTAACGCAATAGATTCCAAGAAGGTGGGGAAAGAGAGATCGATTACTGAATCCTGACTGGTTCATCGAATCTACACCCAACACAATACATGCAACAGAAATGCAAATACCAGAAATATGGAAGATGTTATTACCACCAGTCGGTCAGTCAAATTAGAGGAGGATAATAAATAATCTCGAAATTCTATATCAATTCACATACACATCACAACATTCTAACAAGTTACTCATTTATTTTGACCATAGAAACACTCGTCTTATTTTCCATCTGATTGTATTTGACCAATAACACTGATATTATTATTTCTGAATGTACATTATCCCATATCGATTTTTATTCCAATATGTAGTCAATTCTACTCATGTGCATAAATGAAGGAAAAAAGTTGTGTGAGTAGTGACTTGATGTGATTATGAGTGGCAATAATTTGTGCCGAAAATGTGGTCTTCAGTTAATATTACTGTGTAACACTGTGTGATTTATCAAAATAAAATCTTATCCGTAATGGAGTTATGCTCTACCACAGTGCGCAAGTTTTATACTTATATTAACGGTGATAAAAGGCAGCGATATCTGTCTGTCTGTTTTCGACATAGAACTTTGCGCCGATGTGCACCAGTTCAAGTCGCCACACTCCCTCCTTGTAGCAAACAAACCAACAGAAGAAAGTAGAGGAAATGCACAATGGAAACAGTAAATAGAGGTGTGAGACAAAGGATTAGTAATAACGAAGAACAATAGAGTCTCATTGGAAGTCACAAGTGACAAGGAGTGGATACATCTGCACCAGCCACTGAGAAGGATTTTGAATCATATCACAAATTGTCTCCCGCCCGTCATTGGTTTTTACCGCCCCAAGGACCCCAGCCAGTCAGGAAGTCTACACCTTTCTACGTGGCTGGCTGGCTTAAACTAACTGTTGTGGATTTCATTGACTGGTGAAGCCATGTTTTGGTTTGACCGCCACTAGCTAGCTCTCTTCCAACTTAACCCTATGTCAGCTAAAATTATATTTAAATGCAACAACCGCAACAACTCTTATTATTCGCAATACAGAGTATATATATATATATATATATATATATATATATATCGCTAACACTTCCAGGGAAATTTAAACCATAAATAGACAATCAATATCTGATTGATTGCATGATCTTGAAGATCCTCCAAAATAAAGCAATCAAAAATGATTCAAATCAGGTGATTATGTCAGCGAATGCATCAATCGTGTCTTTAACGGCTAACAAAGATAGATAGTTAGTCCACCCTAACAACCACCGACCGAAGGCAGCTGATAAAAGTCTGCTAACTATTGGGTATGCTCTTCGTAACTTGTCAAGTCCCTGAACCATAATAGAGGCGCTAACGTGACTTTAATGTGAGAAATTCGCATGTTGCCTCAAATGCTCACTGCAGGAGATTTCCACACTGATTTCTGAGTAATGAATGTATGTCTGGCTATCCTGATTCTGATCGGCTTTCACATCGCCATATATGAAAGTGTTTAATGAACACTTGTACACTCACTCCTGGTATCAGAGGTTCAGCAGTAAGCCGCTCGCCAACCATTCACGTAGTCCGGAGTTTGATCTCCTGCAACGGCCAACGTACTTCTAAACCTCGTTAAGCTGGGTGTAGGGAGAGTAAAGAGGGAAGGTTGGATGTGAGGTTAGGAAGCCAATCCTGTAAAAATAAAACTACCTCTACTGAAACTTTTAAAGCTCTAACTTGAAGCTCTATATATTCCAAGAGGAATGTAGAGGAATAAAATAGATAGAAATAATGTAAACTCACTCGAATTAAATCCTTCCTATGGGTGTGTAGTACCACATTAAGATTATGAGTACACAGTCGTTGTAAATTGTCGGTGTTCAAACTTCATACACCGAAGTATATGTATATAAAAAAAGAGAAAGAAATTTAGTTGAGGATATATATAAGAGAAACATAGATTACCCATGTAGACAAAAAATAAAAATAAATGTTTAGTCAAAATATTCATGATAACTTCAGTTTTGCTAGCTGATAGTGATATAATCAGATGATGAATGGAGTGCAGGTTAATAATTGATATACACTGCGAATGGCATCAATGGCTTTCCACCTTTTGAAGCGATGGTTTCCAAGGATTTCTACTTGAAGTTAGGCCAACTAAGCTACATGTGTCCAAACTACTGACCAGATCTTTACTTCAGTTACAAAGGTTTAATTTCGCTTGGTTGTCATGTGTATAGCTAATTCACAAATATTGCTTCATCATTATCACAAATTAGTTGATTCACCTGGTAACTTTAGCTCAACACTGTTTATTATTTACCTCGGAAGCAATCAGATTACTTCTCAATCAGCTGTTAGCAACAAATCGGAGTCACCAAATGTTACCATTAGCACAGTAAACCAAGAAGGGGATTTTGCATCACAATACCACTCAAGGTTAAAGCGGATGTGTGTGAAGGTGGTGTAGATCTGCTACCTGGAGATAGACTTTTCGACCTCGAGTATGTAGACGATATCGTCTTACTGTGCGATAAAATGCAGGCCGCCCAAATCGCACTTAATCAGTTGGCGATCAGTGTCTGTAAGTATGGTATCTACTTTGCGCCGTCTAAGTGCACAGTACTGTTACAAGATTGGCGGGAGACTGTACCTGCACTCACTCTTGTGTGTAAACTGCTTGAAAGCGTTGATAAGTTTGTCTATCTAGGTAGTTATGTGAGTGCTGGCGGATGAGATTTCGAACCGTATAATGAAGGCTAGGGTGGCATACATCAACTTGAGCCACCTCTGGCGCCGTCGCGACGTTAATCTGGCTGTCGAAGGTCGGGTATACAATGCTTCGGTGCGGGTTGTCTCGCTCTACGCCAGGCCTGTGAAACCTGGCCTCTCCGAGTAGGCTGAGGATGCTCGGCGACTCTGCGTGTTCCATCATCGCTGCCTCCGCAGAATTGCTTGTGTCCATTGGTATCATCGCGTGAGTAATCCTGAGGTTCGGTGGTGTGTGTTTGAACACAGTGGAGACCACCATTCATTGAGTGCCGTCATCTGGAAACGCCGGCTCCGGTGGCTTGGACATGTGCTGAGAATGTAATTCCAGAGGCTTCCATACAGGTCTCTGTTCGCTGGTTAGTCCTGGGACGGGATGGAAAAGGCGTGGTCAGTCCATGACGTGGTGCCGTGGGATGAAGGATGATTGTGCTAGATTAGTTTCGGTTGGTGCGTCACGACTCCCTGGTTGGGGTCCGAGAGATAACTCAAATCGATGGCTCGAAACGTTACCGGATATGTCCAAGAATCGCAATCAATGGCGAACTTGTTGCAATATCCTTCTTTCTTCCCTCCCTGATGATAGTGGACGAATACTGTTTGAACTTGTTAAGCATGACTGTTATACTTCGAGATGAAGTTCTTTATCCGTTCTCTACTTATATTGTTTTTACTTTTGATCTGTGTAGTTTTATTATTATTGAGTGGCGCATCTTTCTTGGTGTCATATTGTACCAAGTTTTTTCTGCGTTTAAATAAATAAATAAATAAGACGGAAAACAAGCTAAAATGAAAACTTTCATGAAGGAATCCCCCTTTATAAATCTGGACAAGGCAATAAAAATGCATGGAATAGAGTGAGATGGGTGGATTTTATTCCATCAATATCTTGTCAACTGCTTACAACCCGAAATATGTTAAAGTACACAGTTTCATTGCAGTTTTAACATACCATAAAGATGACTGACAAAACTCGTGGAGAATTCTAAATATCCACTTCATATTGAAGTATTTACTGAAGATGTTGTCTAGAAAAACAGCCGACGCTTTGCAACTAAGTCATCTAGCTCAAAGAACACAACCACGCCAAAATACTTTAGTCCTTCAGGTGTTGGTTTGAAGGGATTTGATTGGTTGCAGGATTTCATCATGAGCTGACATTAGTTAGAGAACCATTGGAAAACCTGGGAGTACTGGACAGCTGCCTCGTACTAGTTTGGGACTCTTCATCAGTACGCACCACCGGGATTCGAACCCAGGACCTTCTGGTTACAAGGCTAGTGAGCTCGTATACCATCAAGCCGGTGGGTGCGTACTTCTGAAAGGTCCCAAACTAGGACGAAACAGCTGTCCAGTACTCCCAGGTTTTCCAATGGTTCTCTAGCAAGTGTCAGCTCATGATGAAATCCAGTAACCAATCAAAAATCCCTACAAACCAACACTTGAACAACATTATTTGCCAGGTTTCACTAACTTGTTCAGTGAGCGTTTCAAGGTCATTAGTGCGGTCCCACTCCATTGGTTGTTAGTGGTCCCTTAAGTTTGATTAGGCCCTTTCCAGATTTATAGCCAGTTTAAAAGATAGGGACGAAATAAAATAATAATGAATCACTCATTTTATCCTACTCTATATGGGAAGAAAAAAGCGATGACCTGTTAGAATTTTAAGTATTGAGATAAGGTTTCATTTCACTAGACGAAAGGTAAATGAACACAACAACTTGTCAGCAATAATCTCAAGATTGAGTAGAGTTAATAATTGGTAGAATGCTCACCAACCACTTACATGGTCTGGGGTTCAAGCACCAACCGATACACTCTTCCGCCCTGAATACAAAACCACTGCTAAAAAAAATTCAAAGCTGAAGAATGAAGCCCTATGTCACACTAATATATATATATATATATATATATATATATAATCATAGTTAGATGTCAAGTGGAAAAGCAAATTAATATCATATATAGAATAGTTCATGGGATGGATAGAACTTGCAAGAAAGGGTGTTCAATTCTAGGATTAGTGGACAAATCAAATAAAATAAAAACGTTACGTAATATTGTGTGAAATTTGATAGCACAGAATTTAACGTTATAAAGATAGGAATTGATTCAGAATGACAATTGAAACAAGTGAAATAATACCGGGAACAGTTCAAAGTGAGAGCAGTAATAGTAACAATTGACGTAATAAGGAAGAGACTACAAAGTGAATAGACAAAATGAAAAAATGAAAAATTAGTAGAGCTAAAATATGATTAGGGATTACCATACTTTAGCATAGAGGGATTAAGACCATGAAAGTTGGAGGGGTTGAACGAACTTTCTCTGTACACAGAGATCTGGATTTTCTGTTTCGATAGCCAAAGGTGGCTTCAGGAATACAGATGAGTCGGGTGGATACGTAGTGATTCCCGTGAATTACTCTTTGTCTTGTAGATAACTTTAAAGGCGGAAGCTATAGAGATAGGGTGATCATTATCGACCAGATGTTCAATGATTGCGCTTCTTATAGCTCCACTTCCGCCTATTCGTAACTAACATGCAGGATAGTGTTCTTGCACCCTCTTGGACAAAACTCGAGTCGAACGACCGATATACCTAACTCCACACGAGCAGGTGAATTGATAAACACACATAGAGTAGGTTAACAGTGGGATCTTGTCCTTCAGGTTATTAAATAATAATGGTCGGCTAGTAAAGGGTATTCTCAGAGTTGCAGCAGAGAGTGTTTTTTTCAGGGACTGTGATATTTTTCGTTTCATGATATCGAAAGCTAAGTTCCCTTTGAATTCCAAACTCGTGTAAAGTATTTTCTTGGGTACGGTTGATAAGTCACGTTTTATAGGATTGGAATGTATATTCTTATCTATAAAACGTGGTGGAAATCCATTTTCTATTAGGATTTTCCTCAAAAGATATAACTCATCTTCCACAGTATCAGTGTTACATATGCGCCGAATACAAGTGGCAAGTGACCGGACCAGGTTTCGTTTTCGACCAATGAGTACCCAACTGTAGAAATTTGTCAGTTTACCATTTCATGATAGCTTTCGATAAATCGATCTTTTCAGAGATCCATCGGTCCTTCTTGATAAGTTCACATCGAGTAAATGAATGCTAGACTCGTTCTCCATTCTCCATATATATATATATATATATATATATATATAGTAGTGTATTCCCACATTTACTGTAAATATTTATTCAGAATTGTAAAGAAAACTAAAAGAAAGTAGCACAACTGTCGTCTACTATTTTCATCACAATGACCTTAATGACTTCTAATTGTACATTGTCTTGTGAACGCGCACGTAAATGTACAATATGATAATAATGATGAAATTTTATATACTATACTATACTGTTTAAAAATTTAAAACAAAATTTTAAAAGAACCTGATTCTCTTAAAAAGAAAGAAAGTAAAAGAAACTACTAGGTTAGTGGAGAAAATAGCAAGAGATTCGCTTTTCTACAATATTGTTATGCTACAAACGCAAACATATTTTGGTTATCATAAGATACAATTACACATCTGGTGTTTACAATAGTAGATTGATTAAGTGAAGTAAATCTAACACAATTGTGATGTGTTAACAATATAACTGACTGGTTTCAACATAAAACTTTGCATAGAAGTGCACCAGTTACAGTTGCCACATTCCATGCAGCACACAAAGATGTAGAGAAGAGGAAAGAAAAATTTAAACAAAAGGAATGAAACTGTTATGAAGAGAAATGTTCAGCAGAAAGAAAGAACAGTGACATGGAGAAACATGAGGATTCATTACTGTTCAATAATCTGAAGGACAAGATCCCACTGTTAACCTACTCTATGTGTGTTTATCAATTCACCTGCTCGTGTGGAGTTAGGTATATCGGTCGTTCGACTCGAGTTTTGTCCAAGAGGGTGCAAGAACACTATCCTGCATGTTAGTTACGAATAGGCGGAAGTGGAGCTATAAGAAGCGCAATCATTGAACATCTGGTCGATAATGAACACCCTATCTCTATAGCTTCCGCCTTTAAAGTTATCTACAAGACAAAGAGTAATTCACGGGAATCACTACGTATCCACCCGACTCATCTGTATTCCTGAAGCCACCTTTGGCTATCGAAACAGAAAATCCAGATCTCTGTGCACAGAGAAAGTTCGTTCAACCCCTCCAACTTTCATGGTCTTAATCCCTCTATGCTAAAGTATGGTAATCCCTAATCATATTTTAGCTCTACTAATTTTTCATTTTTTCATTTTGTCTATTCACTGTGTAGTCTCTTCCTTATTACGTCAATTCTTACTATTACTGCTCTCACTTTGAACTGTTCCCGGTTGTAAGATCAATTTTATTCCTATCCTTGAATCAAGTCAACCTGTCCCGGATCAGCCTAGAGTTGTTGCAACCCAGTTATCCATGCCTAACGTGTCTATCCCTGCTTGTTTAATAAACTGTGTGTATGTGTTTTTACCTCAATCTGTTTAGTCAGACAGTTGAAATCATGGCCCAATCAGAGTATTTTGTGAACTGTTATTTTTGCTGACCCATGTCTAACTTTGTACTATTCTGTCGAGTTTATCTTATTTATTGATTTTCATCTGTATTTTCCTACCTGGTTAAGTAGCCAATTAAATTCTATCTTTGTGCCTATGCTCGGTCTATCTCTCTTAAACGCTCTCTGTTTTATGCCATACCTTACTTGGGTTCATTCTTCTACTGACTGCTTACCTGAACGGTCGTGTCTGGTTCCGGCTAGTTCGCAATTTTGGTTTTAACATTATTCCGCTCTGATAGCGGTACCTTGCTTTCTGTTAAGCGCTGTGCTTTGTACTCTTGAAACCGTTAAGGTTTGTTGCATATATAATTATTGATTTGTTTATTAATAGTACCGTAGAAACAGTGACCGGCTTCTTGTTTGTTCTGGACCGGGATAGCCTTTATCTACGCGTGACTTAATTTCAAGCGATATTGCGCTTACACCGGTATTATTTCACTTGTTTCAATTGTCATGCTAAATCAATTCCTTTCTTTATAACGTTAAATTCTGTGCTATTAAATTTCACACAATATTACGTAACGTTTTTATTTTATTTGATTTGTCCACTAATCCTAGAATTGAACACCCTTTCTTGCAAGTTCTATCCATCCCATGAATTATTCTATATATGACAATAATTTGTTTTGCCACTTGACATTTAGCTATGATTATAATCACAAACATTCTAGTTTTTAATTGCATTTCATACTATTAACATTATTATTTTATGCATTCACACTTATGATTCAATCCCCTCACCGGATACAATTTCTTAAAAACCATACATATATTATTGTACAGCTGGATAATAAATTCATTGTTGAAAAGAGTGTCTTCGCTGTATCACTTGTTTTGATTTTCTATACGATTACAAAAGAGCAAATGCATGTGTCCGACTGAGAACACTTTCGAGCCATATCACCAATTCTCTTCAGCCATTTGGATCTTAGAATTCAAAGTGTGGTTAGAACTGTCTGCTAGCCGAAATTGGGAGACAGCAATTTACGTCAATGTTTACCGTAATAAATCTTCGTCATGAGAACAAACAAGAATAAAGACTAACTCAACAACGAATCACAGCAGACTTAGCGTGGGCAGATATATCTACGGACTGTCTAAGAAACGTCAATATAGAGATATGACAGAATAACCTTCAGCAAGAAAACAACCAATCAGAAGACGTTGCTTTTCTGTTAACAATAATGCCGATAATAATGTACATAGAAATCTATAAATATGTATCAATTTTCTCAATAAACAATCCGTTGCCTCGCCTTAGTCTTGTGTCGTTACAAAAGTACACCATCCAGATGATAGACTACATATCCCTAGGTGGGTGGCTCAGGCCAACAGTGAAAGACTTCCCATGTGGATGTCATATTTTCTATATGATCACCCTTTACTCTTTTCGAACCCAATCGAATGTCATCTAACATTGCAGGATGGGGAAGCATAGTACTAGTATGAATAGTAATCCCGCTTAAAGTAAACGTACAACAGATAACCTTATGACCTTAAAGAAACCATAAAATTAAATTTATCAGATATGTCAACGCGATTGGTTGAATGATTGACGAGCTTGCCTTGTAACCGCAATGTCCTGAGATTCAAACCCAGGTTGATGCGTACTGATGAACAGTTCAAAAACAAGGAGGAAGCAGTAGTCCAGTACTCCCTGGTTCTCTGATGGCTCTCTAACTGATATCAGTTGGCGGTCAAACACCTGTAACCAATCAAATCTCTGCAAACTGACAATTGAAGATAATGTTAAAATTTATTAAAGGAAAATTCTTTTTTTACAGACCGAATGGGAAACACTTATCTGTCTACAATGCACACCTATGACAATGGGAGAAAAACTGAGAAATAACATTTCAACAATATCGAACGATGAATAAAATAGGAAATAGTACTCACCTGTATTCATACATCAAATGTCTATCCCAGATTAATGGACTCAAATCATAGATCTGAACGGTAGACGGATCTGTAAAGACCAGCATTAAAAGACGAATATGATATCATATATATGTATATGTATAGTTAGGTTGTGCCTGTAAAAACTGAAGCTTAGAAAACAGACAGATACATATAAACAAAAAAAATAGGATTTTCAGGTATTGGTTTTGAAGGAATTTGGTTGATTGTGTGGAGGATTTCATCATGAGCTGACATTAGTTAGAGAACCATTGGAAAACCTGCAGGGAATACTGAACAGCTGTTTCATCCTAGTTTGCGACTCTTCATCAGTACACACCCACCACTACAGTTCCAACCCAGGACCTTCTGGTTACAAGGTAAGCTGCCTCGTATACCATTCAGCCACTGTGAATCGATTCAATGGCTCATGAAACAGCTGTCCAGTACTCCCTGGTTTTCAATGGTTCTCTAACGGATATCAATCCGTGATCCACTCGTAAAAACAACACTGACCCTTACAAACCAAACTATAGAAAATAAATATGATGTTGACACAATTCAGATGAAAACAAGGTACAAAAGTACCCTTTTTTGAACTGGTGCAGTCGATTTTATGCTAAACCACAGCCTGCAAGCACCAGTACCCATGGGCAAATACATTTTAACCAAACAATCTAACCTCTCATACTTAACTCGAAACAACAGATAGCAAATTAAAAGAACCGGAAAAAACAAGCTAATACAAATGTAACCGTAGATGTTAGAAGACGAATAGCATATTTTATTCTGTCAGTAAAAAGTTTGAGCATTGTGGATTAGACCAAGTAAAGTATAATTATACAATTGGTGGATGGTGGCTAGCAGTGGAATCCAGGATGCGCATTTCGTCCTATTTGGGACTCGTCAGATGGATGTACCTGCATTTCTCAGTGAGTGATGATGTTCCCACCGAGGCTCGAACCCAGTACCCATAGTTTCAAACGCCAAAGCGTTATCCACTAGACCACTTGGGCCACGAGAGCCACCTCTTGTGCGACGGGTCATATTAATTATTGAATTCGAATAGGACGAAATGCGCATCCTGGATTCTACTGCTAGCCACCATCCACCAATTGTATACTAATTAAATACCCAGACATCGTCGAAGCATCTGCACAAGAAGCCGACATGTCAACCTGAGACCGAGCACTTCGGTCCAATCAATCGACGGGGAAATCAAAAATTCAATTCAATAAAGTATAATTATATTTCAGTAGTTTACACACAATGATAAGCCTTGTTATTGCTAATATTTCGAGCAAAATTACCAATAACAAAACTTATCATTGTGTGTAGACTATTGAAATATAATTACACTTTATTTGCTTTATTCTGTTTTAGTACTGCACCAAACTTGGAGTCATTGACGTCTATAGACACGTTGAACTATTTTCCAAGTACAAGTAGTGCGAATGTTATTTGATGGTAGCCTGAATGCTGTATAATGCGGTCAAATATCTTCTACGAATCCACTACCCCCGAGCCCAAAACAATCAGATCTTGACTGACCTAGTACTTTGTTTAGTGGTGCTACAATCTTATTGAATTTTTTCCACAAATGGACTACAAAACGCTGTCATCCTCATGAACTTCATAGCTCCATCAATTGATTTCTTCTCCTTACCTAGTAATCTACGCCTAACCTCAATATTGCTCACCTTATTACGCCTACCACCTAATAGGGAGATAGAATGCAGGCACCTATGATCAAAGACAACTAGCTAGCCAGCATTACCACGTCTTCCGCTTTCAATGGCCTTGTCTCACCAATAGCCAGTCATAGAGGAGGACGGAGCGAACTGCTTCGCTGAGCAGTACACAAGTCCGGTGGTCGACAGCCAGCCGGATATCACGCCTACTCAGCCACATATGGCGTAAGCGTGTGGCATATGCTACACGAGCCTCCTGTATCCGTGTTGAGATTTCGTCAGCGATCAGTCCGTTGTGGCTGATGCGACTTCCCACAAAATAAATGAAGTGGTCAACACGCTCTACTACTCCATTCACTCCCTATCTTTAAGCAAGGAGTCAATGTATTCCAGACCTCCAGCATTATCTTGGATTTAACAGGAGCGAATCGCATGCCAAACATTCAAAGATCACTGCTCAAATTATTCAGAAAACTGCACTTTGTCAGCGTCTTCGCGTAGAAGGACTATATCACTTGAATATTCTAAGTCAATACTATCCAATTATTTATTATAACCTCATTCGATAAGGTTATGCAAAGAGCCTTACTTTGATAAAATAGTAAATTTTTTGATTACAGCTTGATTACACACCGTATTTTTGGTACAAGTATGGAATTTTCAGCATGGATATCGGTAGCCCAAATTTTGCAGGCCAACCATAGATATCAGGTGTGCTTCGTCGGCAGGGGATCGAACCTCGGATCATGTGCATGGTCGGAGAGAGTCTTAACCACTGTGCCACCGACGCACAATTTCTGTTTTTTTTTCTGTTAGAAAGCATAAAACGTTGGATTATAGCAACATTAGTACTACAATAGTACAAAACTGGAAAAAGTTTAACACCTGTTCAGTTGACAATAACAATAATAATATCGTCACCTCATGTCGCCAAAGTTGAAAAAAAGAGTTGACTTATCAGTAAGTAGATGACAAAGCGCCTTCTGCCATTATCGTTGACAGTAATAATAATAATAATAATAATAATAATAATAGAAATAATAATCCTATAAAATCTTGTCAATTCTAAATTTTGCAAGGTGATCATTTTTGACATAATAATACACGTTGCTCATAGGCAGTGGTATATACAAACAATCACACAAGAGACAAGTGGGTGAATGCACAAGCAAAACAATAAATGCGTTTAATGTCTATCGGAGTAATACGCAAGAAGTAAAAAAACAAAACAAAACAAAAGCAACACATGACGGCGGTATTGAACACCGTCACCATCAACATTTGACACGATCAGCACGACACGATGATGAATACAGATAAACAGGAGAAAATAAACGAGTAACACATACAAAAGTAAAAGACATAAAACGTATTCTTTAACAGTAACAACAACAACACTGGATTGAATAAAGTATATAAAGTATATTGCAAATATGGCTGAGAAATTTATTATTCAAAAGAATTAGTTTGTAGAAATTCGATTGGTTACTGGTTTGATATCAGTTAGGGGATATCACTGAGACCAATTAAATCTTTACAAGAGCACACTTGAAGATTAATTCAATGCTCAGCAGTGACTAATTACCGGACGAAGTTACCCGGAATTCTAGTGAGACATCGTTTACTAGTGGAGTTCACCAGCTGGGGTGTGTGAGGGCGAATACTCGCGCCTATGATATTGGTCAATGGTGGCGCTTTTTTTTTATTCCTTCACGTTCCCAGTGGAACATAGGACTTGAAGTTTCTGTAGCAGTGTTTATTTTTAAGGCTAGCCTCATACCCAACCTTTCCTCTTTGCCAGCTTTAATACTGGTTTAGCGAGTTAAAGGAGTGCGTCAGTGGCCGGGGATCGAACTCCGGACCCTGTGGATGGTCGGTGAGCATGCTAACCGCTGTGCCACCGACCCACTTGTGGTGGTGCTAAAAATAGTGAATTGACACAAGTTAGAATTCATGATCCATATTGGATTCCGTTACAGTGGCTGAACAGTCAACGGACTGGGCCTTGCAGCTTGAAAGTCCTCGGTCTGATCTCAGCGGGGGGCGTAGATCTATACTCATGAAGAGTCCTGAAGCAGGACGAAACAACTGCCCAGTACTCTAAGCTGGTTTTTACTGGATCCTTAATTGATACAAATCCGTGATCAAGCTTAAAACAGTTATTTTAAATATTTTATGCGTTTAACGAAACTGAAATTCAATATGCTACTTGACTGAATTTACTTGCAGCATTTACATTAATAGCTGCTGCCTTGACATGGTGGTCGGGCTTGCACATCGCGATGACCCAACAAGCTACACTGTCTGGAACCAATGTTCCTACAGGTCCTACTACCAGGAAGGTTGTTAGGATATCTATTAGACTAAAAACAGTTACCGGCTCAGCGTAAGAATCTTTCTTACACTATGCTGGTGGCCTGAGGACGAAGTCGTACTGCTGAGGAACAGGGGTGTAACAGCAGTGAGGTGTATCCTTCAGATGACCAGCATTCCAGCCAGCTATGCTGTCTCTCCACTCCGGAAAGAGGGGGTTAGAAAAGGTTGACCCCAAAAATTGTACATCCCGACTTACCCTACGGTGCTCCGTAACCGGCAGTAAGTTTACTAATACGGAACCAATCCCAGAAACCAATTCATACAGGCCATGTGTGATCGGCCTCAAGCAGTTGTCCCCTAGACTCTGCGGTCAAGCAACACTAACCCTCTCTCTCTTTCAGGTACCCGAAGAATTAATCAACTTCCACGGTGTGGGCAGCCGGGATGTAACAGCCGCTACACACTTCCAAAAGCACATGAAGCCTTCCTGAGCATCACTCTCCTTTACTCACATCACCTTCCTCATCTTGCTTCTCTACTACAATTGGTGCTATTCTTCAGGCTAGTGAGTAATCTTCACTTCACTCTGTGACCACAAGAAACGGTGAGAGCCATAGAAACACCCCAGATAGCCTTTTAAAGCCACGTCGCCAGCTTCATATAGCAGCATTTAACGTCAGGACCCTCTGCCATATCGGACAACAGGAATCACTAGCAAGAACTCTGGTATCTCGAGCCATGGATGTATGTTGTGTTTCGGAGACACTCATACAAGACCTGAGTGTGGTCATTCATTTGACCTCACCCGGTCAACAAGGTGAATCTGCAAAATTCACTTTAAGGGTGTCAGGAAACCCGTCAGCTAGCTCGCGAGGACCCGCAGGTGTAGGGATAGTACTGAGTGTTAGGGCAGAAAAATCACTTCTTGACTGGATCCCAGAAGATGTATGTATGTATGCGGTGCGTCTGAATAGGTCCGTTAAAAGAAGGAAGGAAGGCGCTACCCATCGTTGCCTTTTCGTAGTCTCCGATGTTTGTAGACAATCTCTTTTCTCTTTTTCTGCAGATTAGACCTGAAGGCATCTTGGTTGAACAATCTTAAGAAATTATTTTCATTATCAAATAAACTATTGAGAACACAAATTACGCATGATTAATGCTGAAATTTGTGCTGATTAAGGTCTATATGCTTGTAAGAGTTTCTGTTAATTCTTAAGTTAACCGTTTGACGAAGGTGTAAAACTTATAAATATCACAGGATACTTTACGTGTAGTAAGTAGCCTAAGATAGTAAATACAAACAAACAGGAAGACATTATGTGTAAAGTGTGTGTGTGGGGGGGGGGGGAATAGTCAATACAGAGTAAATAACGGAACTCCTTATTATCCAAAACTAACTATGTGATATAATTACAGTTCAGTATATCGTCTAAGTGGTTTTAAGGATGTAGTGATAGAGATTTTAAACGTCACGTCTTTTATTATTAAGTATATTGCTGAGGATCCGTAAGTTGCCGTAGATAAAGTGTACAACAAATAAGACGTATATTGCTTTCATTGTTATTTGTCTTCTAATCTAGTTTCTTTAAGGAAAATGGTTAACTTAAGTCTATGTCACCAAAGTTTCAATATCTTAGGAACAGTAACCATCAAAATGAAGTGATGCTATGTGCTGAATGACTTAGCGGAATGTTTTATATCACCAGTCAACATATTTATTTAAACGCAGAAAAAATTTATTTGAACGAAGAAAAAAAACTTGGTACAATATGACACCGAGAAAGATGCGCCACGCAATAATAATAAAACAACAAAGATCAAAAGTAATAAAAAATATAAATAGAGAACTTCATCTGGAAGTATAACAGTCATGCTTAACAAGTTCAAACAGTATTCGTCCACTATCATCAGGGAGGGAAGAAAGAAGGATATTGCAACAAGTTCGCCATTGATTACGATTCTCGGACATATCCGATACTGTTTCGAGCCATCGATTTGAGCTATCTCTCGGACCCCAACCAGGGAGTCGTGACGCACCAACCGATACTAATCTAGCACAATCATCCTTCATCCCACGGCACCACGTCATGGACTGACCACCCTGACCACGCCTTTTCCATCCCGTCCCAGGACTAACCGGCGAACAGAGACCTGTATGGAAGCCTCTGGGATGACATTCTCAGCACATGTCCAAGCCACCGGAGCCCGCGTTTCCAGATGACGGCACTCAATGAATGGTGGTCTCCACTGTGTTCAAACACACACCACCGAACCTCAGAATTACTCACGCGATGATGCCATCGAACGCAAGCAATTCTGCGGAGGCAGCGATGATGGAACACACAGAGCCGCCGAACATCCTCGTCTACTCGGAGAGGCCAGGTTTCACAGGCCTGGCGTAGAGCAAGACAACCCGCACCGAAGCATTGTATACCCGACCTTCGACAGTCAGGTTAACGTCGCGATGGTGCCAGAGGTGGCTGAAGTTGATGTATTCCACCCTAACCTTCATTATACGGTTGGCAATCTCATCCACCAGCACTCACATAACTACCTAGATAGACAAACTTATCAACGCTTTCAAGCAGTTTACACACAAGAGTGAGTGCAGGTACAGTCTCCCGCCAATCTTGTAACAGTAATTCGTACTTAGACGGCGCAAAGTACATACCATACTCACAGACACTAACACAGTCAACATATATATGGAGCATTATGAGCGGACTATAAATTCAACACGTTTATTTTAATGCATCTGAACAACTTAGCGATATATCTTTCACCTCAAATCCTTTCTCCCCATTATTTTAGTACGTACCACGATAATCTTAAATGCCGGATAATTTGATGTGATAATACCCTTGGATTATAAATGAGTTTTATCGATTTCGGCAACATCATCAACAGTACTTTATACAGTATATTCCTAAAATTATTTGCACAGCACTGGAACGTGCTTGTTAGGGCTTGTCATAGTACAACACTGCTGTGAACCACTAACGTTTCCATGGTATCTAAACTCAATATATCTAATTTAATCCACCCCGTATTAACCAGCTCAGAAATCAATTAATAACTAAATTTGGCACAATAACAGAAAAAAATAGACCAATAAGAGTCAAGCTGGACAAAAGCAACTGTAACCATTATTATAAGAGAGATCAATCAAGCCTTGAAAGAGAGAGGGAGGGAGAGAGAATAAGATACAAAGAGAACAAAAAATGTTTTGAAAACGTAGGTTATTAAACAGAGATGGAATAGATCCTCACGATGATATTACTTTTTTTAACGGAAGCGTCTCAAAAATAAATCAACTCAGTAAAAATCCACAAATTAGATGCGATAGTAGTGCAAATCTACCCCTATTTATTTAGCCACCATCCATAATGAATGGACTTGTTACCAGGGTATAATCTCGTCGACTTGGAATATGCAGATGATATAGTTCTCCCTTATGGGTGAAGACGCTGACAAAATCCAGAGTCTTCTGAACACCTTGGGCTGCAATCTACGAATGTTTGGCATGCGATTCGCTCCCGCCAAATGTAAGATGATGGTACAGGATGGACTACACTGACTCTTAGATTAGAAATAGGAAGTGAAGTAGTAGAGCACGTTGACCGTTTCACTTATTTTGGAAGTACGATCAGCCAGTGCCAACGGGTTGATCTCTGACGAAATCTCAGTACGGATAGAGAGGGCTAGTTTCACATATGCCAGTATACGCCGTCTCTGGCGTAGACGTGATATCCGGATAGATATCGACCAAAGGGCGGGTGTACTGTTCAGCGAACCAGTACACTCTGTCCTCCTTTATGGCTATTGGTGAGACCTGGCCATTAAGAGGGGAATATATGAAAAGATTAGCTGTCTTCGATCATAGGCGCTTGCGTTTTACCTCCCGTATTAGGTGGTAAGCGTAATAAGGTGAGCAATATTTAAATTAGGCATCGGTCGAGCACTACGTAGGTGGCAGGTGAAATCAGTCGATGGGGCTGTGAAATAACACCGATTGAGATGGTTAGGACATGTGTTGTGTATGCATGCATAGTCATCGCCTTCCTCGACGGATGAGTAATGTTAGCTGACATAGGGTCAGATTGTAAAAGAGCTAGCTAGCGGCGGTCAAACCAAAACATGGATTCACCAGTCAATGAAATCCACAACAGTTAGTATAGGCCAGCCAGCCACGTAGGAAGGTGAAGACTTCCTGACTGGTTGGGGTCCTCGGGACGGTAAAAACCAATGACGGGCGGGAAACAATTTGTGGTATGCTTCAAAATCGTTCTCAGTGGCTGGTGCAGATGTATCCACTCCTTGTCACTTGTGACTTCCAATGAGACTCTATTGTTCTTCGTTATTACTAATCCTTTGTCTCACACCTCTATTTACTGTCTTTATGCATTATGCATTTCTTCTACTTTCTTGTGTTGCTGTGTGTGCTACAAGGAGGGAGTGTGGTGAATTGAACTGTTGCATAGAGATGCAAAGTTCTATGTCGAAAACAGACAGCCATGAGCCATCGTGAAATCCGTTTTCATAATTGTTATTCTAGTGCTTCACCAGAATGTTTTCACACATCAAATGCAGAGAGAGGGAGAAGAAGAATAAACTTACAAACAGTACTGAATTGACCAGGAATTAGTTTAGTTAAGTATTTTGGATCAACAAAATTAGGACATATTGAAGGCACAAGTGGGTTTATCCATTTTTGTTCCATATCTTGTATACTTTCAGAAGAGTTCTGCAACAAAGAAAAAAAGTGGGTGAAGAACATACAAAATAAAGCACTTAACAAAAAACATAGGGATGTAGCTGTACACAGATGAGAGTGTCAAAAGCAGCTAGGCTCAGAAAAGGAAAACAGGTATTTATCACTCTGGGATGGTGTGAAGATCTACACTACTCAGCATTAGGAACAAGCTGTGAACTTGCAACATTAACGTCAGTCAGTAGACAGTTCAGAGACTTTGGTGCGTTTGTCACTAAAAAGCATTTCTAACAGGCTGCTGCAAAGTTTCATGAAAAGATGTCTTTCTTCGGTACTGAAGACCAAGTCGCTGAGTGAAACGATAAGCAACAAGGAACTCTAACAGAAAACTAACAAAGCAAAGATGGAGGCAGGACATACTACTCAGATAGAACAGTCATGTAACATCACACATCGTTAAGGTCCTTGAGTGGAACTCGAGAATAGCGAAATAAGCGAAAAGAGTTGAGCATTCGAGAATGGAATAGAAGAAGTCATATGAAAAGGAAGGAAGGAAACCATACGAACAGTCGTATAGCCTACGGATATTTCAATAGGAGGAACCAAAACGACAAATAATAAATAGTCAATAGTAAGAAAATACTATTTAGTCTGGAAGACACTAAACAATGAGAGGATCACTTCAAAGGACTCTTGAACCGACCACCACCTGCAACCCGTCAGAAATACCAACAACACCACGTACACAACTGCAAGTTGACACTAATCCTCCAACAAAAACTGAAATCTTTAATGCAATCAAGCTTGTGAAAGCTGGAAAAGCAGCTGGACCAGATGGAATACCCCATGAAGCACTGAAAGCGGACCCAGAGACGACAACAGATATGCTGACTCCATTATTGCAAAAAGTCTGGAAGCAGGGAAAGTTGCCTACTGACTGGAGGAAAGGTTACCTCGTGAAACTACCAAAGGGCGACTTAGGACTCTGGCATAACTGGCGAGCAATCACGCTCTGTTTCTGTCGATGCAAAGTAAAATCTGAGTCGAATCACCCTGGAGAGAACACAGGACGCACTGGATACAGAACTCCGACCACAACAAGCTGGATTCAGGAAAGGTAAATTATGTAATGACCAAATTGCAACTATACGCATTACCATCACAGAAAAAAGCATGGAATGGAAATCAAGCCTCTACCTCAACTTTATAGACTTTGAGAAGGCCTTCGACAGCGTTGATCGTGAAGTAATTTGGAAATTACTCGAGTACTACGGCGTACCCAAAATATTCATCAACCTTATTCAACAGCTGTACGACAACGGAACATGTCAAGTGATCCACAACGGAAAACTCAGTGAGGCGTTTGGAGTAAACACAGGAGTCACACTAGGGTGTTTATTATCTATCACCAATGATATTCCTAATTGTGGTGGACTGACTGGATTATGCGTCAGACAGTGAGTGGGAAACGAGAAGACACGAATATCCTGGACCGACGTGAAGAACCTAGAAGACCTGGATTTCGCGAGTGGATGATTTATGTTTGATGTCACCCAAAATCGAAGACTCACAAGCGAGCGAAAACCGACAAACTGGTCGAAGAAGCAGTCGGTGAAGACAGGACTCCAGGTGAGCATAGACAAATGGAGGTTATGAAAATAACCAACCAACAACAACAACGAAAGCAACAGCAACATCCAGCACCAATCACCATCAACGCGAGGGATTTGAAAGAGGTTACTTCATTCATTCACTTATCTAGCTAGCGAGCATTGTCTCAACTACAGGAAGTCGGAAAGGACGAGGATGTCAGTCAAATCGAGCGAGAATCGGGAAGGCGAGAAACACATTATTCATCAACCTGAAAGTAATCTGGAAATCTTCGTCACTCAGCCATGATCAACAACAAAATTCAGTCGGATTTTCAATACAAACAACGTTGAGTCAGTTCTTCTATATGGATCAGAAACTTGGCGGGAGGGCGGGTCACAAATAATATTTCCAACCAACAGGGTAACTCAGACCTTTATCAACAACAACTGTCTTCGCTGGCTCTATACTGAAGATCAGATAGCCGGGCCGGAATCACCAGAATCACCAACAAGAAACTATGGGAATAAACAAACAAAACAAGAACCAATCGCCAACCAACAAATATGCAGGAGAAAGTGGAGATGGCTTGGACACTCGCTCGCTGAGGAGGCCGCTGGATGACATCGTGCACGGGTCAGGCCATTGCTCGAGTGGAACCCGAAAGGGAAGCGGCGTGTGGGACGTCGGTGCAGGGGTGACATGGAGGAGATCGTGTGAAGAGTTGAAAGAGTACGGACTAACATAGATGCAGGTGAAAAGCAGAGCAGAAGATAGAAGCAAGTGGATGGAGACGTGCAGTTGAAGCCCTATGTTCCACTAGGAACCCAAGGGAACAACAATAATAATAATAGTATACAAGGCTATGAGCGACAGTTGTTTCGTGAGCGACCTGATATTATGCACCGGCTCACACTGTGAAATAACTGGTAGGGCAAAATATTGAAGTCATTGAAACCAATGTTAATGATGACAAGTCAAACGTCCATTAAAAAAATAGAATATTAAAATTTATCTCCACTCACACTCACACATAAACACACACACGTAGAAAACCACATGACTTACTTTTCCTGATTTATTGTTTTCCATTGTATCAAATGAATTTCGACTACCAGGTAAATTCACTTTATACGGTGATAAGCTAACCTTGTCATGAATCATTTCATTATTGAGACAACGTTTCTGTTGTTTCATTTGTTCCCCTTCTCCTCCTCCACCTCCTGTTCCTGCCTCTTCTGTTGGTGCTTTTTTCTCAACAGAATTTTCTTCTAATTTAACAAATGAGTCAATAATGCTACCAATACAATTTTGAAAAGATTTCTTCATATCTGTACTATACTCTTGATGGATTGATGTGAATTGATGCATAAATATTTGATAATCATTGAATGATCGTGGTGTCCAATCTTTAGTATTACTAGGATTATTATTATTATTCTGATTCTTATTTCTGTTGTCGTTATTATTGTCATGATTTGCAATTGACTCCATTGAAACAGGAGTAGATTTTAGTGTTGCTCGAATAGATGATAATGTCTCCGAGATGCCAAACATGACAAGTAAACCATTAATTGTAAAATGAACACCCGACGTTCTTGGAAATGGGATTCCAATAGCAGCATGTTTCCCTTTACGTTTTATGATAGTTTCTCCACTAGGCATAAATATTTCATCTGGCTGATTATTATGCAATGATGATATCTTTGTTAGTGTATCATCGTTTATATCATAGCGTATACTAGATGAATGCACTAATTTCGATGATACTGAGGAGGAATTTCGTTCAATCTAGGAGTATGCAAAAGTGGAAGAAATCAGTAACCTGATAACCTACAACATTCTCTGTTAAGGTTTTACACAACAGATTTTTACAGATAAATAGGATAGAGAAAGAATGAGTACAATTGGGGGAAGATATAAATAATTTAATAGTTATTCCCATTGTAGCATTAGAAAACACGATATTCAGCGAATTTATTATCAAGCTGTAGAATCGTATATATATGGTGCTTTTTAGAGAAATTATATCCGGTGAGGGAATTGGGTCAAAGGTGTGAATACATGAAGTAATAATAGTAGTAGTATGAAATGCAGCTAAAATATTTGTGATTATAATCATAGTTTAATATCGCGTAGCAAAACAATCAATGTCATATATAGAATAATACATAAGGTGTATAGATGTTCGGGAGGAGTGCATAATTATAGGGTTAGTAGGCGAATATAAAATGTTGCATAACGTGGTAAGAAAATGGGTAAGATAGAATTCAAAAATTAATAATTTTGGGTTTAGAATGACAAGTGGGACAAGTGGAAAAGATTCAGAGTGAGAATAGTAATAATAATAGTGATGATAATAATAATGATAATAATAATCGTAGTAATAAGGGAAAGGTACATAGAATAACTAGATAAACAAAATAAATTAATGCTTATTTCTTTACGGCCAGGGCAGAAGTAGGAATTGTACGTACTTCTTTTGTACACAAAGGTCTGGCTTAAAGTCATGAATTGCCAAAGGTCTCAGCTGTCTTTGGAAGTCTGTAACGAAGAAAACGCGGGAAGTTAGCATCGATTCTACATATGATCTGAAAATCACGATAAGAGCGACAGAAGTCGATCAAGTTTTCCAGAATAAAGCTTCTGTAAAAGATAAGCTCCCCCTTCTGGACGCCTCCATGTGCATCTATCAGTTCACCTGCTCTTGTGGAGCAAGGTAAATTGGCCGTAGTCAGAGGACGCTTTCAACATGGATTCGAAAACATATTCCCGCTTGGTTTTACAAGGGAGAAAGGAAGTGTGTGCGAAGCTCTATTCTGGAACACCTGATCGACTTCTGTCACTCTTACCGTGATTTTCAGATCATATGTAGAATCGATGCTAACTTCCCGCGTTTTCTTCGTTACAGACTTCTAAAGACAGCTGAGACCTTGGCAATTCATGACTTTAAGCCAGACCTTTGTGTACAAAGGAAGTATGTACAATCCCTACTTCTGCCCTGGCCGTAGAGGGATAGACATTTATTTATTTATTCTGTTTATTTAGTTATTCTACGTACTTTTCCCTTATTACTACGGTTATTATTATCATTATTATTATTACTATTCACACTCTGAATCTTTTCCACTTGTCCCACTTGTCATTCTAAACCCAAAATTATTAATTTTTAATATTTGAATTCTATCTTACCCATTTTCTTACCACGTTATGCAACATTTTATATTCGCCTACTAACCCTATAATTATGTACTCCTCCCGAACATCTATACACCTTATGTATTATTCTATATATGACATTGATTGTTTTGCTACGCGATATTAAACTATGATTATAATCACAAATATTTTAGCTGCATTTCATACTACTACTATTATTACTTCATGTATTCACACCTTTGACCCAATTCCCTCACCGGATATAATTTCTCTAAAAAGCACCATATATATACGATTCTACAGCTTGATAATAAATTCGTTGTTGAAAAGATATAATTAATTAATTAAAAGAGTAAGAACACACAGGATTTCACACGTGTGTAGTTGTGACTCTATGGTTTAGGTGCTCGACTTCCAACCACCAAGTCGTGGGTTCGAACCCCGCTCCGCCAACTGAAGTTTACACAGTCAGGTATAAAAATTTGTGTGACTCATTGTCAAATGCCTAGAAACGCAAGAAACGTATCACTTAACATGGCTGCATGATTCTGATAAGCTTAGTGAACACTAAAATGAAAGAAGGATTACCCATTGTAACAATGCAAATAAAGCATATTCCATTGGTGTCAGTCAGCCTGTAATCATAAAGTGAAAGAAGGCATGCCTACATTTCAGAGAGTGGATATTCATTCAAACCTATTGTGCAAAAATGCAAACTTGGCACAACATCGGCGCCAAGATATACGCTACACAAACATAATAAAACAACAATACACAAGAAAAATAGGGATCAATTAAGTGAGAGAATTCATCCAGAAAGCAGTCAGTTATATTCATCAATATCGTTCATTACTTCGTGTAACTTTCAGAAAGAGGAGGAGGCAGTAAAAATTGCAGCATATTCACAACTGTGATTACGATTCTTGGCCATATCTGATAACATCTTGAGTACAGACTGAAAGGATCTCTCGGACACGACCCAATGCTAGCGAACGGCAAGGCGTATTGGGAGCCTCTGGGAAGAACATTCGTAGCACATGTCCAAACCACTAAACAAGGTGTTTCTAGATGACGATACTAAATGAACTGTGATCTCAACTGTGTCCAAACACGCATCACCGGATCTCAGAATTACTCACACGATGATAACATCGAAAGCTAGCAATTCTACGAAGACAACGATGATCGAATACGCACAGTCGCCACACACCCTCAGCTCAGAGAGGGCAGGTTTCGAAGACCTAGAGCAAAACAGAGCTTACCGAAGCATTGAAAACCCAACGTTTGGCAGCTAGACTGATGTATACCCCTCTAGCTTTCACTATACAGTAAGAAATTGTATCGGTCACACTGTCAGTATTCATACAATTACCTATATACACAAAGTTATTGACATTTTCAAGTAACGAACACTAATAATTACCCAAACCAAGTGTGTGTGCTTATCAAGAACATTTCATTAAGCCATATCACCTTCAGAAAGTGGAGAGACAAGGACATCGTGGCATGTTTACCCTCGACTTGAATTCTAAAGCATATTTGATAACAGAACAACGAGAACTATGTTAACTGATCTAAATTACTAAGATAAACTTAGTATAATGAAACGTAAAAATATCCGCGGGATTTAAAGCACAACAAATACAAAATCCAAAAGACGTTATAGCAGATTAAAGAGATAAGGAAAATTAATACGCTAAAAGTATAGGCCTCATATAACATCTCATTGCCAAGTACATCAAAATGGCATGAGGTCATTGAGTAACGATTCATTCTAAGTCATCTTAGCTCATAACCCTATCTCTACAGACATTTTAGCCTTTCTTAGCAATTTATTTAATTCTTATTATTATTATTATTCCCTTGTGTTCCGAGTGTAACATACTGTTTTTTTATTTTTGATTACAGCTTGATTCCACACTGTATTTTTGTTACAAGTATGGAATTTTCAGCATGGATATCGGTAGCCCAAATCTCGCAGGCCGACTATAGATATCGGCGTCGGCGTGGGCTTGAACCCGAACCATGTGCATGATCGGCGGGAGTCCTAACCACTGTGCCACCGACGCTGTTTCAACGACACATCTTTATTTTGTCCTATCTTCTACCGCCCTCTTCAGCTGCGTCCACGACTGACTATGATCTCTCATCTCCTCCGCGCCACGCGATCTCCTCCATGTCACCCTCGTATTGACGACCCACTAGTCGTTTCCTATTGGGGTTCAACTAGAGCGCCTGATGAGCGACGTCACATCCAACAGCCTCCTACTCAACACGTATGCCTAATCCATCTCCATTTTCACACAGCATATTTGTTGAGCAATAGGCTGATGGTTCAGTTTGTTCATAATCAGAGTTTTTTTTTGTTGCTAATTTCTTTTTATAGCAAGTCCGATTGGCCGTTTGATCTTCAATATATAGAGCCAAGGAAGGCAGCTGTTGATGTAACGTCTGTAACGTGTTGGAAATACTTATTCGCGACACACTGACCAAGCAAGCGCTTCTGACCTGCATAGAAGAAGAACTGACTGACTGACTGACTGACTTTACATTTGTGTCGATAATCCAAATCTTGTACTTTATGCTGACACGGGAGTGCAGGAGATTTCCAAAGTGGTTTCAGGTTGATGCAAGTGTGTCTTAACTTTCCGATTCTCGCTTTGACACACCTTCATCCGTTTCGACTGCCTGTAGTTGAAACGATGCTTTCTAGATAAGTGAAGGATGTAATCTCTGTTAAATCTCTCCTGTTGATGGTGATTGGTGCTGGTTGTTGTTGTTGTACTCTATACCAAACCTTCACATGTATTCAGAGCTGCTACGACGATATTTATGGGTAGCTTCAAATACTTGGAATTAAGTTAATATATCAAGCAGTGTTAAGTGCTATGTATTACACTTCCTATACGACAGTCAGTAAATTTTGAACTGGAGATTTTATTTATCTAGCTTAAACATACAATATCAGAATTCATACATGTTTCCGAATACGTAATAAGGCGCAGTTGTTGCGTTTCTCCACTAGACGTTGACGCAACTACTATCATTTTACTACTACTTTATATTATACATTTATCCAAAAAAATACGCCATCAAACGCAGTCTAATTTAGATATCTCTAAGTCACAGCAAAGCAGAATTACTGAATAGATTCAGTGAAACGAATAACTTGTGTAAAAGAATAAACACAAGGAAATATATTTCAAGATTGATATAGGTATAAAACTTTGGCACTGAGGTGGTAGAGTATAACTCCATTATGGAAAAGATTTTATTTTGATAAAGTGTCACACAGTGTTATACAGTAAGTAATATTAACTGATGCGACCACGTTTCGAGCACAAACTATTGCCACTCATAATCATCATATCAAGTCACTCACTCACACAACTTTTTCCTTTCATTTATATACAAGTGTGGAATTGACCAGGTATTTGAATAAAAATATAAATAAATATATAAAATAAATACACTCGTCTTATTTCCCATCTGACTGTAATTGATCAATAACACCCGTATTATTATTATTTCTGAATGTATTATTATTATTTTATCCTTTAATTCCTAGAGGAACATAGGGCTTCAGCTGCGTACCTCCATTGCCTTCGGTTTTCTGCCAACTTATTCACCGC